TTTCTTAGTGGTATTTTAGAGAAGCTCTGGTGGTGTCTAAGCAGATACAGCCAAGATAGCTTAGATTAACTACTAACATGATTAGGAACAGTCAGTGGAGTCAGCCATTCACAGTTTGATTTACAATGAGTGAAAAACATCACTCTTATCCTTCTGGAACGTGTCAGGACTCTTTACTGCTAAACCATTAAAGAGGTAAAATACATGTTATGTTTGTTACAAATAAAACATAGAATGTCCTGTAAAAGCTTCAAATGTCTGCATTTAATCTTGAACGGCCAAAAAATGCTAAAGTGAAACACTGTTAGCTTAGTGCTAACATATTAGTAAAATCCCATGGGGCACTAGTAGAAATTAACAATATTGTAGAATTTTTATTTATGATTATTTTCTTTTTTACAAATGCTTGCAGGAGCTCTGGCTCGGTGTCACTTTGACTAAGCTAATCATAGAAACCCAAAAGCAAATTACAAAAGGTCCATAATTAAGTGTTAAGAGTTCTAAACTTTTCCTGCATACACATTTAGAGGCTGTTCATTTCAGAAAGCTGCATTTGTTAACAGTGGAACTGTTTGTAGAGTTTCTTATATTAAGAAGGTACTGATGCTTAGAAACCCTCATAGTCATTATTTAAAAAGGGTTAAAACCTAATGAAGAAAGAATACATTTTCATATTCTGGGAGTTTGCTATGACATAAATGTACAAAACTACAGCATGCATCAAGAAGGATATTTAAACTACATTTTATAGTTATTTGGCAACATAATAACAAGCTGAGTTATTTTTCATCATGTGTTCTGAGAGCATCTTACAGAAATGATCTGAACAGAGAATCCACCCTGTGTGTGTTGTATTATTGTATTGTGTTATATTTATTCTGCCTTTCTGTTTTATGTGACAAGGACCATAATAGGAATATGGATAAATACAAAAGTTTGGGCGCCAATGTTTTTTTTTTATTTTCTAAGTGAAAATAAGTTAACACATCCTCTACAGAGAACACACTTCTGCACATTTCAATGCATAATGACTGTTTATTTGCAGAATTTAACAAATTTACTGAAAAAATAAAACAATAATGTGTCCTGTGCAATAGTTTTATGTTTTTTCCAATATGTTACACTCAGTAAATACATAGAAATTGTGCACTAAAATTGGCAGAAATTGCGATTGAAGTCTGTTCCTTGTAGAGGATGTGTTAACTTATTTTCAACAAAACATGTCATTTGACTGGGGGTCTTCAAACTTTTTCACACAACTGTAAGCTTCAAAGGCTTTGTTGTATTTTAGGCCTTTAAGAAATCAATGTAATTTGTGCAAAAATGTTATATGTGCTTTCATCAACAAACAAAATCAGTCAATCAATCAATCAACCAATCAATCAAGATGTGATCACTACACCTAAAACTGACCTAAACAAATTTTTCCATGTAAGTTGGCTTGTGCAAATTCTATAAATTTCCAATCCAGAGAACCACATATTTTTAACTAATTTCTTAAGTTTTGCATTAGTGAAGTGGCGGGCCACCACTTAAATATGCTGAAATCACTGTTTTTTATTGCTGAATGTTGTTTGTATGTCAGGGGTCTTCAGGTGTTTGTATGCTTGTTCCAAGTAGTGCTTGAGTTTTGCTCATAAAGCCCCACTGATGGACGCATCATGTGACCAAGCCAGTTCATAGTCCTTTGGTTTCCTAGGAAACCGTTCAGGGTGCACGTCCCTTTCAGCCAACCACAGACAAGATGCTCACTTCACATTGAGCTTGCCCCTCCCCCTAGTGCTTACTCTTTAATTCAAGTGTTGTTCAGTATGGTTTTGACAGGCTGAAAAAAGGGATTTATCTCAAGTGCTTCCCTTCATCATGTTTCCTTTTGTCCTTTCTATCAGTCTGTCTCATTCTTTCTCTCTCTCACTCTCTCCCGCTGCCCCTCCTCCCTCTTTCACTCTCTCTGGCCTGTGTGACAATACACACGTACACACACCCTCTTGCTACAGCACGGCTGGCACAGAGCATGGCTGAGTGGGTGCCGGCTGGCCTTGAGATATCCTACACTTCAACTTTGCTCCTCATGTGACCGCTGTGAGAGTGACTTCACTCTTATGGCCAGAAATAATGTTGCTTAATTACTGTAAACCCACTGAAATGTACCTGAAAGCTTCCGGCCTTCAAACTGAATTTTACAGCTTGTTGCAGCTTTGACGTTTATAGAGTTGACGTTATTACTCCCAACTTGGGAAACCGAACTTATGTTCTTTAGAACGTACACCATTGTAGGCAAAAGTTTGACCACCCCTGGTTAAATGACATGTTTTGTTGATTTTCTAAGTGAAAATAAGTTAACACATCCTCTACAGAGACACACTTCTGCACATTTGAATGCACAATTATTGTTTATTTACTGAATTTAAAATATTCAGAAAAAAAAAATATATAAAATATACCTGTTCAAAAGTGATAGCACATTTTATATTTTATTGTTTTTCTATATGTCAAAGAAACTCACAGAAAAATGCCATATTTAAGTTTGTTCCCTGTAGAAATTGTGTTAACTTACTTTCACTTAGAAAATCTACAAAAAAAATGTTAAAAAGAGGTGATCAAACTTTTGCATTTGACTGCATTCATATTCTTTGATATGGGGGCAAGACAGTACATGCTGTGCATCGAATACAGTTGGCCCTAACAGCATTTTCCAGGATTTGAATGCTTGTTGATATTTCTTAATGAGTCCCTAAAAACCTCTGCCAGAGTAACATGTTCGGTATTGTAGTTCAAAGTACATGCAATAGTTGTACTGAGTGTATCGATATAGTCATAGTGATTGTTAAAAGCAAAAATAAACAAAAATCAGCGTTTTTTATTATTTTTGTGACAAAGAATGTTAGACAGAGAAACAAAAAGCAAAGGATTGAATGAATACTCAAGGAGTCATATTATTGGCGCCAGCCCTAGTCAGATTTGATGCGATACAAAAAGTATGTTTGACAGCAGATATACTAACATACATTTCCATTAGAATGGTTTCCACTGCTACCACTAAAAACACAGATTCCTGAAAGACACAACCACAAAGTGAGAAAGTGAGCTGTGTTGTACTTGAAACTACTCTCTCTCTCTCTCTTTCTCTCTCTCTCTCTCTTTCTCTCTCGCTCTCTCTCTCTATCTATCTATATATATATATATATATAGATATATAGATATATAGATATAGATATTGATATAGATATAGATATATATATGTGTATATGTGTATATATATATATATATATATATATACACATACCATGCAGTGAATGTTCTTTTAGCTCTAAGAGCTAAATTCTCTCCTGAAAGTTGCAGAATATCTAAGCTCCAAAAATTGCTGCATCTGGAGATACAAAGGAGGTGACAGTAACATCTTGATATATCAAATCATCATGACATATTAAATATGAGAAAGCATTATTATTCATGCACTAGAGATGAATGCAGTGCTGCAGCTAAGAGAGGGCCTATCCTCTTTCAGATCAATGCCACAGTGCAAGCTGGCCTGCCTAGGAGAAAGTGATATGGGGTTATACAAAAGAGTCACTGTTGTTTTCCCATGCATTCGTTTTCCCCACGCTTTAAAAGCAAGAATCAAGTGAACAAAGTTGCTCTGTAAATATTTGACATTTTACTGGTTGTCTATATGTTAGCTTCAGATTTGTCATAGACAAAATGAAAAGAATCTCCAAATGAAAACAGTGAGATATTTTTTTCATTTCATCAAAAAGCGCTACATTTTCACTGTTTATTTTTTTTATTAATGTTTATTAATGTTAATGCTTAATGCCAGTATGCAGTGTTTAAACTGATATTAACAATGAAGTTGATTTTGTAGAGAGAACATGACACCTATTCCAGCATCATTGCACTAGCTGCCTGTTTGCTCTAAAACAACTAGTTCTTCTGTTAGTGTTTAAAGCAATAAATGGTTTATGACACCCTCAGACATACAGCAGAGTGTCTATCGGACTATGTTTCAAGTTGGATTAAGCTCGAATGGTGGCTCGCTGGTAATTCCTGTTGTAAAACGTGGTGAAGCAGCTTTTTGTTTGTATGCTCCAAAGATTTGGAATTCTTTTCCTACTTAGATCCGTCTAGCACCTTCTGTTTACAGTTTAAAACGCAAACAAAACAAAACTTATTTACTACCTTTAGGTTTCATTTATTTGATTCTTTTTTACTGTTCTCTTATTCATTTACTCTTGATCTATTTGCACACTTGTGCACAGTTGTGCTCCAATTAGTTTTTGTTATTTTTTTTGTAAGAAATTTCTAAATTGCATCTTAAATATTGAGTTTAGCTTTTCCAGGATGACTAAACTGAGTTGAAACATAAATTGGGGATATGTACTGCTCCAAGAGTAATATTTTATTTTAATGAGCTAGTTTAAGATAAATACATGCTGTATTCTATGTTTTAAATTTAATAATTGTCAGTTTTAAAAATTATTTTTGCCATTTTTGTTTTCTGTAGTATTTCAACATTCCTGTTAAATCTATACATTCTACATGCAATATTTAGAGAAATATACGTTTTTTATATATTAAACATAAATGATATGTATGAAGAGTTTTGTTGCAAAACGCATTATAGACCATTTTTGAAATGTTTCTGTTTGTGATGTTCATTGTTGTGAGTGGGCTTCAAACATGAGAAATATCAATGCTATATTAAGATTAATAAAACTTTTATCAGAGGAATATAAATGTGTTTTCCAGAAAAAACAGAAAAACATAAAGTTACAAAGTTTTGATATGACAGCCAGGATTTACTGCTGTTGGAACTGACTGCTACTACTATTAGTATTCACTTCTATTATTAGTAGTATTTGCAATGGTATTTAGAGCTGGTGCCTAATTGAAAACACTTCATATTTTATCTTTTATGTCTGTTCTTTGTTTTTGTCAGATGAGTAAGTAAGAGTGCTCTACATCTGTCTGAATCCTTTCCTCTTTCTCTGATCCACTAGAGGGAGGCACAGCTATCTTGTTTTGGGCCTTCAGCGCACAGAATCCTGAATCCCACCGGCTCCATCAGCCCACATCTTCTACCGCTTTCCCCTGCTGCTGTTCCCTCTCCTTCAGACTGTCCCCTACAGGGCCTCCTGGAGCCCCGGGCATCCTTCAGCCTCTGCGGGGAGCAGGAGGAGGGATGTGGCTCCCTCTCCCAGCACCTCTGCCTCGCACCTGGAAACCTGAGGCATGGCCCTGTCCTGGATAAATCACACCAGGATGTGTCCACTCTCACAGGTAAGAGAATTTTGCAACTATTAATGTAGGTGTGATTGTGGTGGTCACTTTCGGAATTCATAAGTTGGTTAGTAATCTCAAAGGAGACTTGTTAATGTGGTTTCTGATAATGTGTGACAGTCTGTTATCGATAAAAATGGAAAGCAAACAGACAAAATTCAGGTTTTAAGATGGTGCTGCTGTCATTTGTCAGTGCTGAGCTTTATGGATTAATATCTGATGAAGCAGAAGGAGAATTTAATACCACAAGTTCATGCTGAATATGTCCTAATTTTTTTCATTGCAGTCCTCTCCAGCTCAGGCACAGATTTTCAGTTTTTTTGTAGAGTGGTTAGGGCACTGGGATGCTATTGAAAAGGCTTATCTCACTCTACAGGATCCAGTGACCGCCCTTTTTGCTCTTGGCATCTGTATTATGCTCTAAAATGTCCTGGAATTTGAAAAGAGTTGGAAGCAGAACAGCCCTACAGCATCTTATATCCTCTCACATATCTGCCACATCACATGTTCTTTCTACATCTTCACAGCGTAGAAGTGCTTTACTTTCCAAATCTTTCCAGTCCAAATTCCTCTTTTGTTTTTTTTTTCATTTGCATAGGCAGGGTAATCACAGTCCCAGTTGCTATTAATTGACCCAGCAGTGGAAATGAATATTTATGGTTACAAAAATGGTTACAATTTTGGTTTCAATTTTGAGTTTAACATATTGGAATAAAATATAACTTTTGTAAAGGCCGCATAGTATGTTTTTTCACCCAGATATCTTAAATTCAGCAAGTAAACAATAATATCTGATTATTTTTTATGATAGTTTCGTTACCGTTGCATATCATATTTCACATATGATACTTCATAATGTAGCTCCCAGACCAGCACTGCTAAAGGGACCCAGTGCCTTGCTCACCTGTTTGCTGAGCAAGATTGTTAAAATGCAGTGTCATCATACTCTAATGCCTGATTAGTAGCCATCTCACATGCAGATTTTCACTATAAAGCATAATTGATGCTTTTTTGATGATGGCTGACTGATAATCATTGACTGTTTCACTTGCCATAATTGGGGTGGCCGGGAGGGTGGCCATACTTTATGCTTTGGCGGCACTGGCCACGTCTGTCCATCCCTTGGCTACAGCTCTGGTCCCAGTATTTATGAAATGCTTGATTCTGAAGAATGTCTTTTTCTCTTTGAACAGTTAAGCCTAAACTAACCACCTTATTTCTGCCAAAATCAAGATAAAAAATGAAACATCTTTTCTCAGTGTGTTAATTTTTACTCATATTTAATAAGGGTACCTAATTCCAGGTAGTGTTAATTAAGCTTATTTGGACAATCAAAACTAATATGAAAAATAGAAACAGAAATATGATAGTAATAATTTTCTCATTCAGAGACAGATTAGGCATTGAATAAAACATGTAAAATGAATTAAACAGGGAGAAGAACAAATGTGTTTCAGGAAATAATGGTTCCAGTTGTTCCTGTCACTTGCATTACCATCTTTGTCCAGTAGAGTGCAGCACAGATGAGCTTTTCAAAGCCTCTTACAGTTCAACCCTCAGCGTACCATTGAGGACAAGATGAATTCAATATACACACTTTATTGTTTAAGGTATTAGATGCTGACAAAAAGGTATTAAATACTGACATAATTATAATGAGTGTAAACCTACATTTAATTGTTTAATGTTTCAAATACGTTTTTGTCCTTATCTTACATAGTTATGAAATTCACTTCATTTTCTTCTATACATGAATGCAACCATGGCTTCAAAACAATATTTGATGATGTATTTATTACACTCCAGAAGAGTGGAATGTTAAAGTTGCACTAAAATGTCTTCACTTTATTCATTTTTCTGCATTTTGTAAGCCTAAATAAATAAATGTATTATGTTATATTTCTCTGTAATGCTAAGTGCTGTGATGCTCAGTAATTGTGGATGTAGTCCTACTTTCTACATTTTATAAATGTTTATGTATTGACATTAACATGGCAGATGTGTATATGAAAAGTATACGGATTGAGCAAAAAAGTGAGAATTCCATAATCGATTCTTGTAAATGTACACTGTGTTGTTTAATGTCGCAGTACTCAAGTCTGGTCTTGGTCTTGAGACTGTAAAGGAGTGGCCTCAGCCCTGTCTCAGTCTCAGGAAATTGGAAATTGTGCTCGAGACCAGCCAAGTGCAGTGCCTCTGTCTGAGGTCATTAGAAACTGAACTTTTTTCTGTTATTATTGATAATAAAACAAAATAAAACCAGAATAAAACAGTCCTTTCTCTACATGTTTAAATAAAATCTGTTTGCTGCCTATTAAGGATTAAATTGATTCTTTCCATGGTGGCTTAAGTGGGTATTGTTTGTTTGCTGATGTTCATTTGTTCCAAAATTCAAATATCAGAATGTTGTTATTACTGTGTTTCTGTTTAATAATAAAATGTCTATGTTGTTTGGTTTATATTCAGATTGACTTTAGATGGTGATTCTGAATAAGTTTAAGGCAAGACAGAGAATAACCTCACCATCATTTACTTCCAGCAGTTCTTTAGGTATATAATTTAATAATAATTATTAATAATTTAGGTTATACATGAATTAATGTTATAATTTAGAAAATATATTGTAAAATATAATATTGTTTATTAATATATATCATGTTAAGTATATTTCAGTGATTATACAGTAAACTACAAATAATATTATTATTATTAATATTTTCCCCTTTCTTCTTTTTATTTTTATATTCTTAATCTCAGTCTTGACTTGGACTTGACTACGACAAAGTGCTGTGATGTGTCCAGGTCTCAGTCTTGACTACTAGAGCATGGAGAGCATGGGCATTAATTCATGCTCTAGTATTCTTGACCACAACACTAGTACTTTTGTTATGGTGGTATATTATGGTGATATTGTGACTAATCAAGTTTTATCAAGTTCATAAATACAATATGAAATAAAAAAGGAAGTATGGGAACTTTAAACATCTAAACACGCTTTTCACTCTCTGTCTGTTACAGATCTGTGTTCAGGAGCGGATTTGCCAGAGGTGGAGATTGTGAGTTTGCTGACTGAGAAGTTACCCAGATACACTCTGCGGGCAGATTATGTGTTTGGGTATGAGCATGATGACTGGCTGCACACTCCACTGCTGCCACCAGAGGCCGCTCTGGGACTTACCTACGAGCAGATTGACGAAACCCTCAAATACTTCTGTGAGTCTGCACTTTTCTACCTCCTTCGGTGTCCACTACTGTTCCACAGCCGGTACATTAAAGCTGCTTGTGTGTTCAGAGCGCACCTGTCCAACTGTCAGCCAGGTCTGATCAACAGAGTGAGAAATAGCCATTTTGTGGTTGTACTCAGTCCATGACTGAAGTGGCCTAACACATGCAAACCTTATTTCAGAGATTTTTAAAGAATGTCTGTGTAAATTAACCATTCAGAGTAGTTTGATATGAAATATTTCTGTCTACAGAAAGTCAGAATTGCTGGTGGTGATATGAACCAGACATCTGAAGAGTTTAGTAGCTTTAAAAGCAACCACATAGAAAACTGTAATATGAAATGGTTGCACTGTCTCATGCAACATTGTTTTATGATTTTTTTTAAGCCCATTTACGGCAGCAAGTTACATGCTGGGCATTGTAAGACAAAATAGTCCCTAAAGAAAACAATTATTCGTATTTACCATTATTTCACTATGATTAACATCACACAAATTCAGAAGACTTGCGTAGTTTTACTGGTCATTTTGGATAGTAAATAAAATGGCCATATTTAGCTGATTCGTATCACCACCACTGTAAAGATATGAGTCGGTAGGTTTCTCTACAATGAGCCATTTCATAAACCAAATCACTCGCAAATTCATTTTGAATGAGTTTGTTTACATCTCACTGATTGAATTATGCAGAAATTTTATTCCATTAATGCTCAAGTTTTGTGGATCAACATTTTGATATTTGGATTGTGATTAATTCACAAATTGCAAGATCATTCATGAATATCTTGAACTTTTCCGTCTGGATTTTCTTCTTGACATCTTCATATCTTTGTGAGAAAGACTATTTTAGTTTAAACCCAGAGAGATTTCTCCTTTCACCTTTTCCTCATTATCTGTCCTGAATGTATGTGAAGATATGACAGCTAAGGTTACAAAGTCAAAAGCTGTATGTAAGGTTAAAGGCTATGTGTTTAGTAAGTATGTACAGTAGATGACACTGCTTTAAAGTAGAAAAGATTAGGTTTCTTATCTTTTTCCTGCTTTGTCATTCTGACCAGTTAGCAATGACTTTGAATTAAGATAGTGTAAATAAGTGTGACTGAATTTATTAAGATTTGATTGGGCAACATTCATCAAGATTTCTCTTTCCAAAATTGTATGATCAAGACTATGTCCATTAGTTGATGGGTGCTGCTAAATGTAGTGTATTCTGACTACAATTAAGGAGGTCTGTAACGATCTTAAATTAGTAAATGAGCACTGAGCATTTGGGGGGTTAATTGGCTAATCATAGTTTTAAAAAGGTAAAACAAAAAAAGGACTTTAAGAAGCAGTAATAAACCGGCTATAGCATTTCAAACACTCCAAAACAGATTGATGAAGAACTGGAAGACTAGGAAGCCTTTAAAAAGTTTTCATTGAAAACACTATGTGGCAAAAATACTGTTTCTTACTGTAAGAGAGAAGAATATAAAATATGCATTGTCATCATGCAAATTGGCAACCTATCATTGCCAGTTCATGGAAAAGGTAAATTTGAAACTGAGTGATCAAGTTTAATCAAGAAATCATGCCAGCCTTACAGTTTTGTATGTTATTAAATTTCTGACATCTTTAATTTTTTTCTATTAAATTGGTGCAGTAGTAGTTTTTTGGTCAGAATGAATAAACTCCAGTTATAGGTTTCAGAATGAAAAGAAGCTAGCTGTATATAGCAGTGCAACAGCTTGTTTACAGCACAGGGCGCTATCCCTATCCCTAAACCATCTCCCTATACCTCTCCTTCTCTCCAGGAATTAAGTTTAACTACTACCTACACACCCTGTATGACCCTAAATACTGTGGAAGGATTTAGCCAAGTAGGTTGACCCCTTATGCAATTTCTGGTGAACTGCACTAAACCATTAGCAAGTTCCCCTTGTGACTCCTGTTGAACCACTTAGAGGTAGTTATCTTCAGTACTACTTTTCACCACTAGGGCTGCACCTGGTCCCCCCCCGCCCCTTCTTTTAATCTTGATTGCTTCCCTTCCGCGTGGCAACAGATGCCAAATACCATTAAGCCGATTAACTGGATGCTTTTTAAGTATAATTAGCCCCTTCTGGTGCTCCCTGTGGCCTCTCTCGGCCAAGCAACACCTTGCCTGGACCTTGTTTCGGCCGTGCTGACGTCATTTTGGCCAGGTCAGCATGGACAGGTCACCGCCTCACCTCGATGTGGCCGGATCCCTTCGATACTTAGGTGGATTGGATTTAGCTGTTGCACTAGCACTTGTGTCTAGTCTGTTAGGGTAGTGGGAGATGGGCTTTGTGGGTTTTATGTACACACTTACAGGCTATTTATAAGATTTGAGGGGATTTTAGAATCAAATCTTTAGAATCCACTGAAATAGAAGTAACAGTAAGTTTACTCTGGTTGGTCTTGCCTTTGGTCTTTTCTAGGTCTGCACAAAGCATCATACCTTAATCATTAGTGCACCATTAGCCTGCACAATACTGATTTCACAACAATTTGAGCATCTTGACCAATCACAGATGTACTTTGAGTGTTTGAATAAAGAATAAGGCAGATCAATCCTTAACTACATCATATCAGGGGTTCATTAATGTGTTTTCAGTATTTAGGAAGGTATATTGCAATAGCAATATGTAACAATGGCCCTCTTCACACTTTTATTTTTATTTAACATCTGTCACAAGAGATCTGATGTGTCTCACATGCGTCTCCAGTAACCATATGTGATCGTATTTTGAGACAAGATAAAGGGTACCATACATATTTACTGCATTAATTTATTGCTGCATTTGTTGTCCTTGTTTGTGTAAATGTACGGGCTGTTGCAAACATTTAGATTGGATTTTAAATTGGATTCCTTACACAACTTGTAAACAAACTTAAGATGAGACAAAAAAATAAGCTATGCATCTGCTTTTGTCTCTTCTTTGATTATGTGGATGATTAAAATGGTCCTTTGATGCAGTCTGCAACGCATCAGGACACTCTGGCATTCACACTACAAATGTTTTGTGGTCATATGTGTCCCTGTCCACCTCCGACAGTATTTTAGGTGATCAGATCACAATGCATCCTTGAGATGCACTGGACTCTTTTGACACATGTACTTAGGGCTTTCCATATATGATTGGAGAACCCAGGATACATGTTAATGTCAGGTGTAAACGGGGCTAATATGAGAGATGGCACTGACGTGATACTAGGTATCAGTATTCGGCTGATATCAGCTTAAAATGCTTGATTGGACAGAACAAAAGAATGAATCTGATCCAGTCCTCTAACAAATCTACCCTGAAATAGCACTCACTCACATTGTGTGATGAGATGTTGTTAGCTGTGTTTTTTTTTCTTGTAGGGTAGTAAAATGTTTGAGTAGTTTGAGCATGACAGCCTACTTTTAGATAGAAGTGGTAAATGTTCTTATATAAAAATAGAAAATAGATAAAGGTTGATACTTAAAGTTTCAGTACAGGTATCAGAAAGGAAAAAAGTGCTATTGTGCCTTCTCTTATCAGTCCTGTTTCAAGAGTTGAACTTAAAGGCCACATATCCTACATTTTCTTTTTTTTGTGTTTTATTTTTTCCTTGAGGTCCACTTAAAACATTTGTTTTTGTTACTGTGCCTTTAAGAATCGTAAAGGTTGTAATAAACTTTCATAACTATGAACTCTGAGCTATGGAAGGTACTGTTGACATCTGGACACTTGTACCTTATCAAAAACCTTGTGCAATGACATTGACTCTGTTTACTTCATTCATCCAACAATGATTTGAAAGATAATGTTCTCCTTCTGTCGACTGGCCTTTTTAATTGGACTGTTGCTCGTTTAGCATTAAGTTGTGTGTTGTTTGTCAGGATTTCAGGGATTGTTGTTTTAACTCTGGTTAATACTGGACAGGCTGTTCTCACAGTGATCTTCTTACCTTCCAGCCAACACACATCTGCTCGGTCTTGTTACAGCTGACCACCCAAATACACCTAAACTTCCGTGTGTTTTTGCCTTCAGCGCACTGGTTTGATTTCTTACTCCTTATGTCTCTCGCTATCTTTGTCTTTTTTGTACGCCCAGTGAAAGACACTTTACCTGTACACAAAACGTATGTAAACTCAGACTGTGTTTATCATTATATGTAAGCAAACAACACACAAGATGAAGCTTTGCTGATGGTTTTTCACCTTTGGAATTATCTGGAATTCCATAGCTCACTCATAAAGTGATTGGGCTGTGGTCTCATAAGCTGAGCCACATTACACATTAACCATTAGCCTTTATTTCTGTAGACTCACCTGGGAGCAGCTCCGGACAGCTTTCCACTTGCTTATAATGACTCTAGAGATAAGAAAGATGTTTTTCACTGAAGCTGTTAAGTCACTGATAAATGGTTAAATCCTCCCGACTGACTGTCTCAAATTGGCTTAATACTTGGAGAAAATGTGCGCAAATAGTGTGATAGTGTGCAAATTTTAAGGCTTGTATCTTCATGAGGTTCTTAGAAACAGAGGCTGTAAAAGTGGGTGTGTTCTTTATTTTTGCCTTAGAGAGGAATTCTGCTGTTTTTTTTCAAAATCTCTGCACAATTACGTTGTTACTTACTAAGTCAGAATTATTCCCAGTGGTGGTGATAGGAACCAGACCAAATTTGAAGCATTTACTGCCCCTAAAATTTACCTCTCAGAAAGTTGCTAGACAAAATGATTTTATGATAGTTTTGTGATAAACATTTGGCCTAAAATGTATTTTAAAAGCATTCATGGCAGAGAGGTACATACAGGGTGCTGTAAGGAAAATGTATTGTTTTTTAGATTTAATTCTATTTTACCATTATCAACATTACATTTGAAAACTCAAAAGACGTGTAGGTTCACTACTGCAGGTTTGTTTTGGATAGTAAATAAATACGTACATCTGACTTGTAGACTCTAGTTCCTATCACTACCACTTTAAAGAATTCAGAATTGGTAAGCTTCTCTTCAGTGCACCATTTAACATCAGTACTCTGATTTATGTTAAGATATCAAAAATGTCATTATGCAGAAAATCTGTGCAGAATTCCCCTTTAAGTTTGATAGGTCAGTATTTTTTTTTACTATTGATCCTAGATGCAGTAATTTGTCAGAGGTTATTCTTTGATTGGGATATTTTAAACTACAAAAACAGATTATACAGAGATGCATGTTGAGATGAAAATATAGTGGAGCAACTTTAGCCATCTGTATGTTCACAATGAAGTACATAAGATCTTTCAAACTTTAGTATATATTTTGCATGTTAGGTAACAAATATGAAGTTGCTGTTTTGAGCCAGACTATGTTTATTACACTGTAAAATGCACCTCATTGAAGAAAATGCAGATATAAAATATGTACACTGTACAATCACAGTTATATTAGATAACAAATATGAAGCAGTTTTACGTACATGGTTTAGTGATTCTGAATAGCAGCCTCTTGGAACAAAAGAACGTAGATGCAATGCAACATAACAGTACATGACAGTAGGTTTTTATTGGATGCTTTATTGTCCATGTTTTGTTCAGTTTAAATTATGTTTTGCCTTTTGTTATACAAAGTTTAGGCAGAAATAGGTCGACGTAATAAGCATCTCAGACTTCTACTCAGTGCTTTGAGTTTTATCCCTCCCTTGGTCAGATTCTTTGAGCACTTTGGTGTATACCTGACCCGGAATTGACTGTCTGGGGCTGAAAAATTTATATGGCACAAAGTTAATATTTGATGTAGAAAACATACCCAACTCCCAGATCCTTGAATGTGTGTGTTAGACTGTCTGACAGGGAAGTGCAGGGTCAGTGCTGAAACAGTAGCTGAAAACCTCAGTGTAGGGTATAAAAGTCCCACAGAAATGTAAAGAATCATCTACTGGGATCAGATGTGTAATTCCCCTCACACTGAAGAGGGCTTTGGAAACTTACAGTACTGTGTTCTTACAGGTGAGACATGATTGTCACTGTCATGCTATCAACTTTTAAGAATTTAAACTTAAATAACTTTACAACTGTTTGACATACAAAACCCTTTCCACCCATTGCTTTTTAAATTCCATGCTAAAGTTACACTAGTCAATAGGGGAAAAATAGGCTAAAACTTGACATTTTTGTGCTGATGTGTGTCACCCTGTAAAGCCTAAAATATTCATTCAGAAGTTAGAGCTGTCGGGTCTGATTTGGTGCTGGTTTTTTGAAGTTAGGCATACATCTGTATGGATTGACAATCTCAAGGTCAAAAGGAAGTTTGACTGGCTGGGATGGATACTTCAAAACCAGAGGCATAGCTCACAGTGCTGTGAGTGACAGTGTAGTGATAGCATAGTGGAGAACACCATCACCTTGCAAGGCAGAAGGTTGGATTCCTTGTCAGTGCTGGACCACCAATGCTATACCAATAACTAACGCTGGGCCAGACGTTTAATGCTATGTGCACCTACCATTGTAAGTCACTCATGGAACATATCAAAATGATAACCATTTGTCCACAACAAGTTGCTTGTAATTATGTATTATGGCAAAGGAGGTCTACATGAAATTTCCAAACTTACTTACTGCTTTAATCTAGAGAAGCTTAGCCCTCTGATGATATGCATTATAGACCTCAAAAGTGCTGTAGTCCAAATATAGACTTTGGGTCAAAGCCATTGTCTGTGAGGAAAATGAATTGTGTTTTGGGAAATTGCCCATATCGCACAACAGTGTTCCAAAGCTGTAAAAACTGTATGCACATTTTTATCAAAGTGTCCCTGGGTCCTCTGAATACCAAGGTAATAATGTAGTCAAAATACATTGCTACATGCATGCTACAAGCAAGCTAACACTCCTGTGCATTGAAATGATGTCACTGTTGCATCAAAATAAGGCTACTTCTATAACACTGCTATAACAATATCATATAACAACACCCGCTCTTGTTGCCCGTTACTGCCAAAACCACTTGACTACCATACATGATGAGGCTTGCTGGTTTGAGAGGGATATTTTGTAGGGGTGTAACCATTCACACAATTTTATATTCCATTCGATGTGATGCCTGATTCAATACACTTTTCAATACAGCAAAAATAAGTAGTGGCTTAAAACATGTCTTACATTAATATTTTAATATGTAAGTTTATTAGACCACTTATCTTTCTGGGTTGCGGGGTGAACTGGAGCCGACTCCAGCAGTCATGGGGCGGACAGCAGGAAACACCCTGGACAGGTTGCGAGTCCATCACAGGGTAGACAGACAGACATACATGTACATCCACACACACACACCTAGGGGCAATTTAGCATGTCCAATTGGCCTGACTGCATGTCTTTTTTTACTGTGGGAGGAAACCCATGCAGACACAGGAAGAACACGCAAACTCCACACAGAAAGGACCCTGGTCGCCTTGGCCAGGAATTGAACCCAGGCCCTGTGCTTGCTGTGAGGCAACATCGCTACCCACCACGTCGCCCTAGTTTATTAGACCATTCAATATTATAAAAGTACAATATTTGAAACAAAAGTTGTGCTAATGTGTTAGCCCCAAGCTACTACACTAGCCATAGGCTAACGTAGTGGTCTTGATATAATAATGTGATACAGTACAATATGATCCACTGCAATACACTTTGATATATGTTATATTATCACATTCATAGTATTTTGGTGAGGTTGCCAGTCTAAGGATGAAACATATCAGCTTTGGAATTCATAGGTTAACCACAAATCATGATAGGGATGATTAGTTTTCTCAAAGAAAAAAGAGCTTATTGTGAATGCTGAAGGCAAGTTACAAAATATGACATCCTCAGAGGTCTAGTGTGTGTTGTCTTTCATTATGAAATCTCAGGCATAATCAACACTACATATGCAAACTCCGCTCAGTCCCAGCAGATATACTGTGCTATAAAAGGAGATATAAATTTGAGTCAGTGAGACGTGAAACTGAGTATTGTACTGAAGGACCAAACACATACACAGCACACTATGTGTCTGCTTCAGTAGAGGGGAGTGTCAGTTACGTCCTCTGCAGCAGCATTACGTCTTCAGATGGACAAAAAAGCGCAGCAGACTGGAGCATACCATTAGCTGCTGCAGAGTGGGGGTGTTCACTCTCTAACATGACTCTAATCTTTTAAGAACATTATTATAAAAAACCTCCAACTGTTATGATTTACCTCATACGTTAAACCACCAATAGAATCCATAATTTTCTTTTAATGTTATTAGGCGTCTGGACTGTACCTTTAGCTTGGCCCCCCCTTTGGCTTTGCTCATATCTTCACCCGTGGCTCAGAGCAGCCAGGTGAGTGTCAGCAGGCAAACTGCAACTGAAGCACTGAGAGGATTTATCATTAACGACATTACACGTACAGCCACAGAGCGTGCAGGTGTGTGTTGGACAGTATAAGAGTCATTTAGTATTCAAGTGTGTCCATCAGTATAGACAGATCTCCAGATTCCTGTCTTAACTCACCAAGTCTAGGCTGTAGGGAAAAGAGAAGAGGAAGACTGCAGAGAACAGAATTAGTGAAAAGCAAAAGAAGAGCAGGGATTGAGGAAGTAAACATGGAGGTGTGGAGCAGCTCGGGCACGGAGGACAGTGAGCGAGAGAGCAGCAGCAGTCAGGGCGAGGAAGACGAGGAGCCTGAGGAGGAAGAGGAGCAGAGCACGGAGGGTTTGTGCAGAGAGCTGGTGCAAGGTAACGACCGAACCATTTTGGGGAATGTTGACAGAGGCAGCACTGGAGAGAAATAAAGATGGGCTGATTAATAACAACAACAACAATAATATTAATAATGATAATAAGTTCAATTTCTTGGCATATTTCTTGGCAAATCTTTACTACAGCATTCTCTATTTAACAAATCTGTAAAAGCAACAGCCCTTACAGCTTACAGCTTGGTGGAAAGCCATTAAATCCACCAATAACCATGTATTACCATGTGAATTCACACCAATCTGGCACAATTTAGAATTTGTAATAAATAAAAGTACAATCAGTTTCCCACAATGGAAACACTATCAGCTGGAATAGAAACAGATGACTGTAGAAAGTGGCTGAGAGAATATGAAAATACCAACATATTGTTACTGTTCAATAAAAATATTGAAGATATTGTGATGTATATTCAGTGTGTTACTTTTTTGTAACACACTGAATGAGGATGAGTACTGCTGCTTGTTCAACCACCAAAAAAGAGGAATACTTTGGACACAAACACTAGGAAGTTTTATGACACATTGGTCAGGTTAAGAGTTGTTTTTCTAAGAAAACACAGACCTTTTGGAGTTGATGTAATACTGCATTTCAGGTTGGTTCACCTGTACAGTGTAGTCGGTCTATGTTACTTTTACTTGTTGTTGAGCTAGAGCTGAGTTCACTTATAGCTCAGTTAGTGGAAAAACGGAATAGCGCCTATTATTACTACTACTACTACTACTAATAATAATAATAATGCTTTTTAACATTATTTTTATGGTAACACTTTCTACGAATGTCACCTTTGTAAGCATCTATAAACACATTCATAACATGTTATAATGCATTCATAAGACGTTATAAACATAGCTATAAATATTTATAAAAATGCATTATACGTTATAACCATGTTTATTATGCATTATGAATTGTTAACATAATACATTATAAGTACTGATCATAACAAATTATAACAGCTCATACTATGCTTTAAGTAAAGTGAAGCGTACTCTACTAAAGCCACCTCCAGTGTTAAGAGTGAGGCTTCAAGTTGAAGTATTTACTGAAGAATTTACTGAAACACTAAAACATTCACAGTAAAGCACATTACAGGCTTCAAATATCAGATTTTAAACTATTGCTGCCATCAGTGTTTTACCCAATGTGGGACAGTCAGTGTACACCACCGTTAGCTTGGTATTTGTCTTTACTTTATGCTCTCCAAGCTGGGACTGACTTCTTTGGCACTGACATTATAACATGTTATTAGCACTACTTATAATGCATTATATAAGCAATTCATAATGTATAATAAACATGGCTATAAAGTGTAATTCAGCGTAATTCTTTTTTTATAAATATCTATAACCATGTTTATAATGCCTTATGAATACATTATAGCATGTTATAAATGTGTTTATAGATGCTTACAAATGTGACATTCATAGAAAGCGTTACCATTTTTATTTGTCCTCTTCTATCCTGTTGAAATGGCAGTCTACACCTCCTCTCAAACGCATGACTACAGTTAATATTGCTGTGCAGGGCTATGTGGGTCTTTTTGTGTGTAGGTCAGTGCTGCTGCTGAAGGACGCTTTCCGCTTATTGGGTAGCCTGTAATGAAAACACATTTTCATTCAAGGGTCTCTGCATAACTTTCTCCACAGGACGATGCGACCCACTATAAATTGCTCTAGGCAGTATTGGGCAGATTGCACCCCAAGAGTTCTGTGCATCCCATGAGCCCTTTTGCGAATCTTTTGAAGGATGTAAGACCTTTTAGAAAATGAGGCTGTTAACATAACTAATCACACTAATGTACTCAGAGATATGTGGTCAGTTTCACATAAAAGCACTGCCAGTTTCTGTGTTGAACAAATATGGTTTGTTTAACCTTGAGAGACCACAGTCATTGTGCAGCATGTAAACATAGAAAGTGCGGTTTTTGAATTATAGATTAGAAACCAGACTCTCAGCCAAACTCAAACAAGCAAGGACACACACTGTAGGAGAACTGCTCTTTTACTTCTTGGCTATTTTTTAAATGTAGAACTTTTTTAAAGGTTCTACAGCTGCTCCAAACACCTCTCAGTGTGATAATCCTTCACCTTCATCTGTGCACTGTCAACATTGTCCACTTTATTTCACCTGTGCATGTCTAAGTGTTGGGAGTCGCTGTTGTGTCAGGCTCTGAGTGACGTAGCCAAACTGTATCTGACGTTGCTAAACTCAACCAGGGCAAGTACGTTCTCAATCTAGAGAGGTCATAAAGTCAGTTTATCTGGGGCTGTGCTTAATTGGGCATGGAAAGCTGGCCCTGTTACAGTTAAGATGATCTTAATAGGGCCAGATCATGTTGAATGAGAGCGTAGAAGCTACTGTACTGCTAATGCATGCATGTGGTACTGGTAGCTAATGGGATTGTGGAGATGCTGTTACCGTAGAGTTTTTGTATAGTCCATGTTGTTGCCGTAGAGTTTTATGACCTATATTCTTGCTTTCTCACTTAGTCTATGATGTTACAAAGCTGTGGTCATATAGCCAATGTGTTACCATAGAGTTTTACCTGCTCAGGTAGCCCATGCAGTTGCAGTGTTATAAGTTGTATTCTTACCTTCTCATATAGTCCATGCTGTTATCTTCTCATGCAGCCCCTACAATTACCCTAGAGTTTTTCAGCCTGTAGCCTTATCTTCTCACGTATCCCATGCAGTTACCAAACAGTTTATAGTCAGCTATGTGCTATGTAATCTCTTGAAAACATTCTTTCCGTTATTGTACAAAGATTCAAGATTTACTTTTCGCTGATGCCAGCATGAGTATTTGAAAGAAAGAAAGAGAGATTACAATTTCAAAGCTACCAGTTTTACACTTCAGAGCCATTGAGGAAGGTAATATTTAGGTGAAATTTCATATAACTACTCCAGGCCTCATGTGACAGTCTGTTTTAATCTGGTTTTCCTTTGTTCTCATTGTACAGACATTGTTATAGTTAATCCTGTACAGGGGGTCACATTTTATAAAGCCCCTAGCACTCAGTAAATTTAAACTTGTTCATTTGTCCAGCCAAAACATAATCCCCCTGAATGAAAATAGGAAAGCAGGTAGTAATTGCTGTGTAATTTGCAATAGCTTAGTCTAACGTGTTTTGGATCACTCACTGAACTGAGAGAACGAGTGTCTAGCTCACGTTTATTGTTGTAACCTTCTGATTCTATGCCCATTTGCCAATCTAATTACATTTATTCATTTTATTCAATCATATTTTCGTGGTCCTGAGCTAATATAGTTCACAGTCAAACAAATCAAAGTCATATATGCTGTGTTTCTATGCCAGTGGTGTCCAGTCTTGTCCACAAAGGGCCGATGTGGCTGCAGGTTTTCATTCCAAACAAGCAGGAGCACACCTGATTCCACTTATTTAATCAATTGGTCTTCAAACAGCCAATCATGTGTGTTCCTGCTTTGCTGGAATCAAAACTTGTGGATATTTCAGTTGATAGCTTTACATTGATCTGTGCTGGATCTTTTGGATTTTTTTCATATCATAAAATCCTGCCACCGAGCTGACATGATCAAGGGAAAAAAAACACTTGGCATCTTGTCACCGCCTGCTGTTTTTGGCTAGACTTTAGGGACAGCATGGCCTCTTTCTTGTGCACACTCAGCTTTTATTCTCCTGTCCTCTCTCTCCTCTTTATTCTGCATCCCCTCAACTGAAGGGTAAATTTTCCACTAATGTAGCCTCTGCAGTACTGTATTTCACTGATGTTTGGCTCTCTGCCAAAAAGTGGAGCTCTCCAGGCCCTGAAGCACTGGCACTTTGGTCCATTTGATAATTGCTTATAAAATCTATTGGGCTGAGTGTTGTTACTGGTGCTGTCACATAGTGTTATTCATTGCTGCTGATGATAAACTGGTCACGTTTGCCATGTCATCGATTTGGAAACACAACAGTATTTGTCCTGAAACAGATGTGTAGTGTACAAACAGACAGGCATACAGAGGTTTGTATGTCTGTCCTGTGTGCATGTCAGATGATTGGAGATGCCTTGTCTAATTTTAAAATGTGATTATTCTTGCAGCTACAATTTAAAAAGAACACTTTAACACAAGACAGCTATTTGCTAATAATTTGTAGCACACAGCTTGATGTTCATCAAAATGTCTTCCTTGATGTGAGGAGTAGGTTTTGTCTAAATAATGATTTGACAGTTTTCTTTTCCAGAGTGTTGTTAAAAGCACATATTGAAAAGCTTTGGCCCCAGAGAAATTATAATGTATATGAACGTAATTGTTAATTAATGTCTATGGTCATATTGAGCATGATTCATTATATAATATAATTTAAAAGGCAAAATGTTTGTCTTCTTATAATCTGCCTGCCACAAAAACGTGAGAAAAATAACTTAATCACCTAAATAACCTTGCTGTACCCATAAGCTTACATTACAACACCAACTTGCTTGAGTCCCAGCAATAATAAGTAAACAAGCCAATGATATGGTCATATATGTCTCCAAAGTTTTGACAGGCATTATGTGGACATGTTACAGGCCCACTGACCAATTCATTAGGACATGCGCAATGAAATTTAAACTCCTTGTGTGAGAAAATATGAATTGTTATTTATTTGTGTTCATTTGTAAATAATGTTTAGTTGTCTACCTATAAAGTGCTATGCAGTCTGGAGCGGTGTTCTAATCCTGTGCTGTATCTTTAGCCTGGCACTGCAGTTCATTCGCCAGTCTGTTTGTCAACTGAGGGCTTGATCTAGCACACGGATATATATATCAGACGGACAGAGAATGGCAGACTTAATCTGCTAATGAAGATCATGCTAAGAGGCTCAGCACTCCGAGTGGTCCACCAGAGTGTCTGTGTGTGTCCATCCTGCCCAGAATGCAGGAGGATCCCATACATTATACTATCAACATTTGTATTTATTTAACAAGATCAAGCTATAATAGGGCTCTTTGTTTTTAGGTCATATATTCTTGTAGATTCTCTGGGCATTTTGGGTCAGTATGACTGTTTACACATTTTGTATGTCAGTTGGTTTAGGAGCATCTACGAAATGGATAAATGTAAATGTTTTTATTATAACTGCAGTAGATGCACCAGTATAGTTGTGCTCATAGAAGTTGCACAGTAGTACCAGTATGTGTACAGTTATAAATACACTTGTATAGTATATATACATTCAACCAGTACTGTGCAGAAGTCAGAGACCGGCCTTTGTTTAATTAATTTCCAGTTAAAACCACCATTAAGTACAAGATATTCATTTTTTGGCATCAGGAAAAAAGCAGGAAACATCTATTTAACAGAAAATTACACAAAATATTTAATACTTTTTAAGCTCCTGTTTTGGAAATTCCTGTTTTTTCACTTATTTTTCTTTGACTTTACTCTTCCTTATGCACTGTAATCCTATGTTATAATGAATATCCTCAGAAATATCTCCCTTAACTTGTACTTAACAGCAGTTTCACCTGGAAATTCAATGAACCCTCTTTTTGTGACTTTTAATGAAAGTAACCCATTTATCTCTTTCTCTTTCTCTGTCTGTATCTCTCTCTCTCTCTCTCTCTCTCTCTCTATTACTCCACCTTTCTGTCTGTCTGTGTCTCTACAGTGTTGTGCTCAGAGAGAGTGGGCCAGGTCACTAAGACGTACCATGACATTGAAGCTGTCACACATCTTTTGGAGGAGGTGAGAAACCATGAGTCATTTATAATGGATCTAGGTTTCAGAAATGAATAATGACGTTGTAAATCTGCTCTTTATTTTGTAAGCAGTTTGCAAGTTTTAATTTCGCTAAATGTCTTTTCTCCACAGAAAGAGCGGGACTTGGAGCTAGCAGCAAGAATTGGCCAGTCACTGCTCAAACAGAACAAAGCCTTGACAGAACGCAACGAGCTGCTGGATGAACAGCTGGAGATTGCAAAGGAAGAGGTTAGAATGTTAAATGGACTTCATTGGAGGCTTGTACTTAATCTCTGATGGCAGAGAATGTAGTAAGAACTAGCAGTCTGCACGGGTATGGAATTGAAGCCTGTACCCACAACTTTGAGACATCACCCGAACAGGCCTGACTGGTGCTGCTAAATCTGAAACTTGAACACAGTCCAAACCCACATGCATGCACTAACACAGATGGATTATCACAGTCACGATCTTGCGGTGCTTTGCTTTGTTACTAAGAACTTGAGCTGACTTACAGAGAATAGAATAAAAGTGTTTTGCACATTTGGAGTAACCTAACAATATTTATTATCAGTGTATTTCTACTGAATTGCATCCGCCCTACTCTGATCTACTGTTGCCTCATTGTGCCAAAGCTCCTGTTGCTACTGCTGCTACTGCCAGCTAGTGTAGAAACACGCACTTATAATCTTCCATTTTTCTTTGCAACAGTTATAAATTATAATGTAAAAAAGGCTACTGTGATTGTACTTTATAGCTTACTTTCAGGAAAATAGCTGATATAAATACACCCTGAGTGGTATGTAATGAAGTTATTTAATGTTGGCCCTGTGCATGTAGATTGCTCAGCTGCGTCATGAGCTCTCCATGCGAGATGACCTTTTGCATCTGTATGCCAGCTCTGAAGAAATAGAAACTGCTGCAGAGTCACGCTCACCGTGAGTACAACACACACACATAAACACACATGCATACATGCATAGACAAACATTTTAGTGACTGATGGAGGTTGTTGTCGCTCTTTTAGGATCAGACGCAATGAGTCAACTTCTTCTCTCAGTAACTACATCCATTACGACTTCCTGCAACAGAAACTCAAGGGTCTGGAGGAAGAGAACCTTAAACTACGCACTGAGGTCACTGCACAGCTTGTATTTTCTCTCAGTCAGCCTGAGGTATTAGGATGTGCATGTATTGTAGGGATGCGCAGTTCCAGTCCTAGAGGGCTACAGTCCAGCACAGTTTTTTGGAAGTCAAAAGATTATAAGTGCTCTGCAGCGAATTATTTTTAAAAATAACATTTTTCTTCAAAGGTTAATTCACAGGTACTTTATATTTGATTAACTTATACCACAGTTTGCAAATGCTTTTTATAGCCAACAAGAAGTCATTTCTATTCTTGTTTTAGGATTTTTTTATACACTCTTCCTTGCAGAATGCTTCCAGTTCTGCAGTATTCTTGGAACGTCTTGCATACAGCTTGTTTGAGATCTTCTCATAGATTTTTTAACGATTCTCAAGTTAGGGGACTAACAGGGCCATTCCAAAAGCTTCAGCTTGCATTTCTTGAAGCGATTCATAGTGGATTTTGAGGTAATTTTTTGGATCCTTGTCCTGTTGTAGAAGCCTCGTTATAGCTTCAATTTCTTGACTGTGTCAACATTGCTTCCAGAATTTGATGACATTTAGTGGAATCCATCCTCCATCTACCCATGCTTTGGCTACCATACAACCCCAAAGCATAATAGCTTCACCACCAAGCTTAACAGTTGACAGGGTGTTCTTTTCATCAAATGCTGCTAATTTTTTCTCAGATGTACTATTGGTGTTTGTGGCCAAACAGTTCAGTCCACAGCATTCGTTACCAAAATTCCTCTGGCTTATCTAGATGTTTTGTGTATTTCAGACTTGTGATGAGGTCACACGTAAAGTTTCCTTCTAATAATTCTTTCAAGCAGATAACGTTTGTGCAAACAATTCTGCACAGTAGAATGGTGCACCATCATTCCTGTTTCAGCTAAACCTTCCCTCCAGTCCTTTGCTGTCATATGGGATTTTGTTTTGCCTTTCTGTATAGCATACAGGCAGTTCTGTCTGAGAGTTTCCTTGGTCTTACTGATCGTGAATTGACTGCCAGAATTCCTCTTAACTGCCATTTCTTATTGACATTTTGGAGAGTGAAATTAGCATGCTGGAAGTGCATTCATATCTTTTTATAGCCTTCCCCTGCTTTGTATGTATCAGTTAGCTTAATTTTCAGATAGCTGCTAAGAGGAGTCCATGGTTGTTGAGTGTTAGCATGGTTTGACGAGAATTTGTTACACTCTGCAATTGTTAGCAGCTGATATTTCCTTATGAGAATTCTTGACCTGCCTAACCAGTCAGTTAAGGCCTAACAATTTATTTAGGTTCCGAGACTTTACAACTGAAACGATGTCCAAACTTTTGCACATGCCACAATAACTATCTATTTTTTAAGTTAATCAGATGTAAAGTAACTGTGCATTCACATTTGCAGAAAATGTTATTTGTTTAAATGGTTCGCTACAGACGTTTACTTCTTTTCGCTTCAAAAATCAACAAGATATTAATTATGGCTAGAGAATTTTTTTGCCTTAACATTTGCATAATGCAGCTAATGCAGCTACATCTGTGTACTTTTTGACATGCAGTGTGTAACTTATAGACCTGAGGGCAGTGTTGTAAGAGCTTTGAGTTGTATTGTATATTGCTCCACCTCAGGCCAATGAGCTAACATCTGAGACCAACAGCTATGAAGAGCAGGAGCAGCAGCTGATGATGGTGTGTGTTGAAGAGCTCTGTAAGTAAACCTTAATTTCTCTTTGAGGTTCTGCATGCAGTATCATGTTGAATTTTGGTTGTATGTGTAATGTAGACACTTCCAGTAGTTTAGTCTCTCTCACTGTCTTCCTCTGCCTCTCTAGCATCGGTGAATAAGCAGGTGGTGGCTCTGTCGGAGGAACTGGCCCGTAAGGTGGAGGACTCTCTGCGGCAGCAGGAGGAGATCAGCTCTCTGCTGGGGCAGGTTGTGGATCTGCAGCAGCGGTGTAAAGGGGTGAGAGAGAGTCATAAGCATGGACAGGCGACATTTACCTCTGCTTATTTTAAGAATCAGAAAACACTTATTTACTATTGCATTGGGTAATCTTAAGATTCACAGATTTTATATGTAAATTTATAGACCAAATAACATTCAAGATATGAAGGACATACTCATTGGCCTTTTAATTAGGTACACCCAACCTTGTCTCTATGCTAGTCTCTTGTCGGTAGTCAATATTTAGTTATTTAGATAGTTATCCTACAACACTGTATGATTTTAAGTGTTCATTCTGTCATTTTCATCTGTCTGCAGCTAGTGAGAGAGAATGAGGAACTGACCCAGCACTTGAATGCATCGCGAGAAAGCCAGTCACAGCTCAAAACAGAGGTATGACCTGCCATCCTCACTGCTGTAATCGCCTTTATCACCCTTTTTCAGCAGATTTTCACACTTCCTGCCCTTTGGATTCTATTTTTGCCCTAAGCTCTAAACATTATTGTTGCTAATAAAGTACTAAAACTGATATCACTACAGCTGTAATTGCAGCAGTTATAGGAATTTTATGGCTAATGGGTCCCTGCTCAAGTCCATGTTTGACTCTGCACTCTGTCTCCCCCTGCCTGCAGCTGAAGGACCTGCAGGAGAGGTACTCGGAGTGTCAAGAGATGCTTCGGGAGGCCAGAGAGGACATAAAGAACCTACGCAACAAGAGCCTGCCCAACAGCACAGTGCAGCGCTACAGCTCCCTGGCTGCTGTCTTTCCCATGGACTCACTTGCTGCTGAGATTGAAGGAACGTTCCGCAAAGGCCTGGACAGCCCTGCTCCCTCAGAGTACAAGTCAGTCATGCATATGTGTAGCTTTCTCAGCTTATTAAATCACACTACTGGCCAAACATAGGCAAATGCTCAAAAGTCACAAAAATAATTTTACAATTAAGTCAGTTTACCAATAACCAATGCAAAACAACAGTTCTTTAATATCTAATTTAACCCTAGAAGTTTTTTTCAAAACATACCATTGGTTTACAGTAATGCAGTCTTACTCTAACTTATTACATGGGCCAACAGAATCTTTTTGATAACATTAAAACATGTGGATCAGTCTTTATTTTCTTACAAATTCTAAATTTACACACCCAACTCAATTAATCATGGCTTCAGCAGGATCTAAATTGGAAAATCAGGCATATATGGTGAACGTACAACTGCCCATTATCACTAAAAAAAATAATAATTTTTTTTTTGCTTTATTTTTAAAGTCAGTTTTGTTTCCAACCTTTACATTAATGAATGTAAAAACTGTATAAAACGATAGGTTTACATAACATATCATCAGGTCCATAATGTTAGCTCATGATTTGACTGCCCTTGTGTCTGTAGGACCCATCCTTGGCGTGTGTTTGAAACGGTGAAAGTGGCCAACCAAGCTGCTCGGCTGCGCTCTCTGTGCCAGTCCCCCCAAGTTCCTGGTTCTAACTCTGCCTCCTCACGGTCCAGTCGAACCAGCACACCACGCACCAGCTACTACGGCTCTGATTCAGTCAGCCTCAACCTGGAGGACAAACCTCCCTCTGCAACACCATCACAGGAGCAGAGGTGAGGCCTGTATGACTTTATATAAGTATATAATGCCTGTGTAAATTTGTAAACCTTAAATAAAACAGTAGTTAAAGTTTCTTTTAGAGTTTGGCAATAAAACGATAATAATAATTATCAATAATGCGTGTTTGAGGTGTTTTCTCTAGAATTGTCATGCTGTCCTGTTTCTTAATATAGTGTTGCCATTACCATTAACCTTTGCTACTTTTGGGACACTAAGCGCCACATGTGTATTTTTTACTTGCTGGATGGGGAAAGAAGTCTAGCCTTTCACTCATAACAGGACAAACCAGTGGGAGAGTTGGCTGACTAGCTAACTAGGTAGCTGTTTTCATTGTCAAGTTATGTAGAGTGGAAAATATCTTGAGTTTTCTTCAGGGTTCAAAATAAGATTTTGATGCAAGTAATAATTACTGATAGATATTATTTAGAGAGTTTTTTTTTCCAGGCCTAGTTTCTGATTTTGATGATTAGTAATAAATGTTAGGAATCATGCTACATTTGTTGTTGTGGCTGTGCAGCAGCGTGGAATCCAAGCGTCTGGGGCAGCCGGGTACTCCAGGTGGTCAGGATCTGGAAGAGGCGATTCGTACACTCTCTGCACGACAGGAGAGCCATTCTTCTGAACGGCCATTCTTTGAGGTGGAGCGGGAGAGAAAGCTGAGGGCGCTGGGGGGCAGTGGCAGTGGCAGCACAGGTGGATCAAGTGGCTTCCTCACACCCAACGACAGCCTGTGCTCCACGGGAACCAACTACTCAGGCAGGTCCCAGCATTCTTCCGGCTCATCCAGCTCCCGCTCCTACCTGCCCGAACGTCTACAGATAGTCAAACCACTGGAGGGTGAGGAAACACACAAACACACACACACATACACACACAGAAGCATTACATGCGCAAAAAAGGGTGACAATTACAGCTAAGTCTTAAGTTTGGGCCAATACATGGTCAAAAAAACGCTAATTTCTGCTAGCGCCACTAACGGGGTTTTTAATTATATGTTAGCACTAAGCTAACAGAGGAAAAAATTTTTTACATGAACATTTTTGTTGCCATTCTAGATTAACACAGACATTTAAAGCTTGTAAAAGACATTTTGTATGTTTTATTGTGTACTTGTAAAATACGTTAACATATATTGTACCTTGTATGCTAGTTTTACAGTGACTCTTTCAGTAAAGAGCTTCCACACAGAGCTGAACTGCCACTGACTGTGAATACCGGATATTGACACATCTTTCAGAAGGCGTATAGCGATGTTTTTCTCACTAAATTGTTCCAATCCATTGAAAGACAATAGGCTGATTCCTCTGTCACTTCCATATTATCTTTATAATTAATCTAAAGTATAAGACCAGAGGGAAAAACACTGAACGATTTTACACTGGGAATTTCAACATTTTAAACCTTTTATTTTCAACCAAAACTTAACAGTTTAATAACAGTAGTTCTACAATCGGTGCCGAGTTAAAATACAACAAAAATTATTATTCTATTGGATAAAACTGATTTAAAAAATTACAGAAATGTATTCATTATGTCCTCTCTGAAGGCCTACAAGGCCCCAAGGGGTCTTGGAAAGGGAGCTTTCCAAGTATGTACATATTTTGTTCTTTGTTCTATAGGTTCAGTCACCCTGCACCACTGGCAGCAGCTGGCAAAGCCCAACCTGGGGGGCATCCTACACCCACGGCCAGGCATCCTCACCAAAGACTTCAGGGAGCTGGATGTGGACCTCCAGCATGTTTATAGCCTCAATGACCTCGAGGAGGACGAACCTGATATGTCCAAACTCCCCAACCCCAATCTTCACACTATGGGTAAGGACCACAGCCCTTCCTCTGTTCTTTTAGTTTAGGTTTTTTAGTTAAAACTTTGATATTGGAATAGTTGAGACTTAAGTTTTTATATCTCAAATCATGAGAAAAATAACTGTCATACCTGATTGAAGTTTCTCAAGACTTCTACATAAACCGGCCTGCATCAGCTTTCTTTATTTTGTTTCACCCTCCATGTGTGTTTGTGTTTTGAAGTATATGCCTCGTGCAAGTAGTGTGTTTTAGTGAGTGTTTTTGTGTGTCTACCTCAGTCAATTCACCTGGTCCCAACCTCCCTCACACCTGTCCCACCCACACCATTACCAACTGCCAGGCCCTTCATCCCTCTCTCCTGCTGTCCTCCTTCTCCACTGGGTAAGAAACCATTGCACTTCATTGCACCATTGTACAGATGCCCCACATGCATCACTGTAGATCAGTAGTTCTCAGCCCTGGTCCTGGAGTAACCACTGAACTGTGCATTTTAGAGTTTTAGAGTAATGAGATAACCGAGCTGGTCAGCTAGTGATAAAGCGAAAACTGCAGAAAGCTTTTATCTTGTGTGACATAATCATAATAATTAATATGCTAAAAACTAAAGCTAGCAAAATCATTTCCTTTCAGCATTTCTCACTGCTCACCTGCATGGATAAATCCCTTTATTAGAGGCATTTCACTGCATCCTCTTCCAGTGTTATTTTTCCTTTCCTTCTCAGTACTGTATCACTGCTGTCCATCTTCTTATGATTTGGTATGAGAATTGCTTTGCAATGCAAATGTAGGCAATGCAAAAAGTAATGTACTCTGACTGTACTACCAGCTTCAGATTTGTACCATTGAATTAGAATGGGGGAGCTCTTTTAGGTGAACGTTGGAACACGACTCACGTTGAAGAGCTTTTTATTATTTTTTTTAAAGTAAGACAGCCCCCGCACCCACCCTCGCCAAGGCCCCTCCCACCACCCCGTCTTACAGTATCTCCTTAGAACATTCTGGCTCTGCCCCGTCATTATCCCTAAACCTGCTGCTTGTTCTGTTCGTTCATGTCTGGTTTTGTACTGGGCGGTTTTCATGTAACTCTTTGTCATGTTTCCAGGTGTGCCTCGTAAGTTCTTGAAATTCATCTAGTGAAATGAACTAAAATAAAGCAATTTTTGTTAATAAGTTTTATTCAAGTTGAGTTGCTCATTTTAGGAACAGAAACAAAACTGACAGTGCTACTGAATGAAGAGCCATTTAGGAGCCAAAAGAGCCAATTTTTATTTCTGAGCTCAACCAATTGATCTGACTCACTGTAAAGAGCCAGAATGCCCATCACTACAGGTTAATCTCTGCCCACTCTAAGAGATTTGTTAGCTGACCAGTTACAATTAGCATACTGGGGCTGTACTGTTTAAAAGGTGGGGGGGTGCGTTTTAACTCTGACATTACTACAAATATAGACTTGCCTCTAAAGTTTATGGTATTTCTGTGCATTCCTGTGTTTGTATGCATAGGTATATATATGTTAGCCCACAGTAATCATGCCAAACTTTTACCGTCTGACCACAGATTCTTCTGACTCTACCAATTACCCTCTTCAGCATTGCCTGACGCAAATACTTAACTAAATACCAAGCCCTTCCTGGTGGCATTGTTAGAGCAAGAAAGACACTAAAACATTGCAGGTCAGTGATACTCCAGGACCAGGATTGAGAACCACAACTCTAGATACCTAATAGACATGTTGTCACTGAGTCATTACCCCATTTTTCCCTATCACTCTCATCTCCAGTTTACCTTCATTTTATGTTCTCTCCTCAGCTGATGCTCAAACTGTGATTCCCTGCCAAAGAATCATTTCCAGAATTGTTATGAGAAATTTTGTTGTTCTTTCATCAGCAAATTGGAAAATAGGTAATAGTAGAATCCATATGCCTGTTGGCTCTGCTCATTACATTGCCACTGGGATTCTGCAGATCTCTCCTCAACTCTTCGCCCTTCTCTGTTTTTTTCCTCTTCCTCAACGACTCTTAATGTACTCTCTCAGTGACAGGAAGCGCTGGTCAAGGCCCTTCCAACAGCTGTAATTTGACCTACCTCTGCAAAGTAAGAACCACCAGTCAAGGCTGGAAAAGCACTGAAACACTGCATCAGAACTACCTCAGATGCACTGATTATCTTAACTTTAGAACTCTTAAACCATCATCAATCGAATTAATCAGCATGAAGCATTCCTAGAATACAGCACTTCTTCTCGCTCTTCTTTCTAATATTTCACTCTGCTGCTTTATAAAATACCCTAAATGTATGTATTGCTTTCTGGTGCTGAATAATAAATGTTCATAGGGACAATCCTAGTCACCTTCTGCTAAACTCATTTGTCACTGCTGTCATAAGAAAACGTCATAACTCTGTATTTCGGTTTTTATTACTTTATTTGAAATATTTTAATAATAATTTTATTAGCCTACATTAACAAGTTAAAGGGGAATGTTACCAACTTTAAAACATTTTTGCACTGTTCAGTTGTTGGGATGTTATGTGATTTAGAGTTGTTTGATGTGAAATAGTTTCAGAATTCTTTAGAACAGTGGTCATGGGAACCTTCAGCACAAATATATTTTATTTGCAATCTAAAACAAACAGTGAAGAAACTTTGACATCTGAGTTTTTAATATGTAATGTTGATAATGGTAAAATAGTGGTAAAAAATAAGTTTTCTTTGGGTGCTATTTTCCTTACAACACCCTGCATGTGCCCTTTCACTATGAACAGGTTTTAAAAAATCTGTTAAATCTGTTTAAATCTGTTTAATCTGTTTAAAACCTCAAAACCTCAAAAGAATGTATTAGGTAATATATCTGGTAATATATCCCTAAACATTTCATGTAATAGCTTTCTGTGAGGTAACTTTTAGAGGCGTTAAACTCTTCAGACGTCTGGTTCCTATCAATTCTAAACTGGTAGGTTTCACATTCATAGGTTCACCACTATAAATGACTTTGTTTACATCTTAACAATTTAATTATACAGAATTTTTAAAAATTCCCCTTTAAGATTTTTCCTTCTCATGTAAAGTTACCATTTTTGACATACAGTATTTCTTACGACAGCAATTTTGTGCTTCATTCTCAATGGTTCGAACTAACATTTATTTTTCAGTTGCAGCATTTGGGCTGGTGATACTAACTACCATACTATTCACAGACTCATTCTCTAGTAGTGTTTCTCATAGTGTTTATTTGGTGTTTGTGTGTTTCCATAGCCTTCACCCTCACAGCGTGTCCGCTTGTGGGAGCTGTGAGCATGTAAAGACCTCACCGGATCTCCAACAGTGCTCCACGTATCCTGGTTTCTTTCATAGGACCGTCATGTCTACGACACCTTCACTTGGTCTCCTCCAGCTGCTTAATGACAGAGGCATCTCTGCTTTAACTCAACCCAGCATACCTTCCATCTTAGGGGGACATCCTACCAGCACAGCTTTAAAGGATAAGGGACATGGAGAAGAGGAACGCAAGAGGAACATTTTCAGCTTCAACCTGGTTGAGAAGCTTCAGAGCCTTGGTCTTCATAAAGTGGTGGCCAGAGGATTCATAGACTCAGGAAAGGAGGAAAGACAGTCAAAAAATCCTCCCCCGAAATAACACTAAAAGCTGGAATCCAACGTAACCTCTACTTGATGTACCCGTCTTCCATGTCGTGTCCTGCAGATCCAGTTTTTTATCCAGCCTGTTCCTCACTGGACACGTTAAAAGCCATAGACATGTGGAGTTAGACTTGTAGTAGGTACCTCTACTTTAGATTATGAATTAATTGGAGAACATTTGTTTTTCAAGGATGTCCTGCTGAACATATGCAGTGCTGACAAAAACTGATTTGGATCTGGAGATCCAACTTCAAGGCATTTTAATATTCTAAGACACATATAAGATATGTTTTTATGTTGCCGTTTTAATTTGCGTGTTTTAAACACTCATCAAAAGGGAATAACTGTTCTGTCATTATTATTTAAGAGCTTTTTTGTTGTTCGTTTAACTTTGTGTACTGGTCACCACCATCATATCACCATGTGTCTTGACGTATATGAGCACTACATATTATTTATTAGTGTCAGTGTAGAGAAATATGCTGAATCTTCATAATGTACTGCATTACCTTTAAAGCCAGTGACCTCTGATTGGTCTTTGTACAGAAAATGAATTGTGACTGCTTGTGAGCTACTTATTAGCTGTTTTCATGACAATCTGTGCATGTATTCTTGCTCTTAGAAATGCTGGATCTTCTGAGCATATTGTTCAGTATGTCTAGTTGGAAATTTCACAATATTTTATATAGCGGCTTTTAGAACCCATTTAAGTTCCCCATAACATACAAAGCTTGTTCACAGACTGTAAAGGTGCTTCAAAGTATACCTGAAGCTACTATAACTGACCAGAAACTTGTGATTGTATTGTTTTCACTGCTATTTAAGTCACACTGCTGTATAATGGCATGCTGTACACACATGAAGAGATTTATCACAGTTGTTAGCACCATGTCAAATGTTTTGCACATGCAGATTCAGCAATAGATTCGTTGTATTGGAGCATTTTAAATACCTCATCCAGTCACATGCTCCCTTGTTCATTTTGCTCCAGTTGAACAGTTGTACTTGTACTGAGTGCTGTATTAAGTCTGTGTATGACACATGCCATTTCAAAAGGCACCTTTTTTTCACTGTTGCCAGTCTGGTTTGTCTGCGCTGTGCAGTCAAGTGATTGTCTCGCACCAAAATCCATTAGTAATGATGCAGTACTTTACAGGGCTCTCTGTATTAATGCTCTGTAGAAGTAACTGCAGATAAGTCTTGTGTCAGTTGCTGTTAAAGGGGAATTCCACCAATTTTTCAAAAGCTCTGTATAATGCAATTGTATGTAAGCAAGCTAAATCAGAGTGTGTTTATATGGTGCAAGAAACTTGTAGAGAATTTACAGGCTCTGTTTTCTTTACAATGGTGGTGATAGGAACTAGTGGTTGCGATGTCTACAACTCAAATATAGCCATTTTTGTAGTATCCAACATGACTACTGGATCTACATGTCTTCGTAATTTTTATATGTAATATTGATAATTAGAAAAATAGTGGTAAATCTGAAAAAAGTATTTTTTTACTATTTTGACTGCATGTATCTCCACCATGAACGAATTGGAAAAAAACAAACATTACATTTTAGACCAGAACCCTATGTCAAAACTGTAAAGCTTTCTGTGAGTAACCTTTAGAGGCGTTAAATGCTTTAGACATCTGGTTCCTATCACTATACTTGGCAAGTTCTCAATTCTGACTTTGTATGTTTCTCTAGAAGGTCGCATTTCATACCAAATCACTCCAAATAAGTCGTAATGATTTAATTATGCAGTACAATTCCCCTTTAAGTGCCAGATTTACTACATGCAACTCTACCCTTAAATGAAGCATTACATATTAGGGTTCTACAACCAAATTGTGTTTTTAATACTATCAAAGATATTCTTTGGACATCACAGTTTTTGCCATTTTTCTACACACCCAAATCCCTCTCCCTCTGCTTCATATAATATTTTATATGTACACATATCATTCAAATAAGATGTGAAAGAGTTTTGATAAAAAGATTTGGAATATGGGAATTCAGCAAGCAGAGAGTAAAAGCAAAAAAAGGTGTTGGCCTAAATGATAGGTTGCAGATTGAGTGTGAATGATTTTGCTTTTGTAAGATGGAATATATGAGAAGTAACAGAGGGGAGAAGCTCTGAAAGAATAATGTGGTTTTGAAAAGGATATAAAGGTGAAACATTTATATCACTATAGGAGAAAAGAAAGTAAACTGAAAAAACTCACAAGCCACACCTTATCACTGCATTATCATTTTCTGTAAGTAATCAGTAATTGACATGGGTAGAAAAAGGATCAAATTGGCCAGCACTGAATAATGATGTACTTTATCATTATTATTATAAATGTACTTTTTGTGTTATTGTGTCCTCTGTAAAGACAAGGTCACTATTGCTTGTCAGTGATTAAATGGACCATTTTATGTAATGATACAACGTGAGTTTGAACGAGTGCTATGTACAGTACTGTAGCATATGTAAATGAATGTTTCTGTACATTTTCAATAAACACAAGCATTTGCCCTGCATGTTTTGCTTCTGAAATAATTCATTCTAGATATATCCTAACAACCTCTTTGGCAGTCTATTGTATTGCCTTAAAATAAGTTGTGGAAAAGATTACACATAAACTTGAAAAAAATTTTGCCTGTTGTGGATGCAAACATACACTTTATTTGGCCTCATATGACTTAAAACAAACATCAGTAAACAAAGCAAAAGACAAGTTTCAGGTGCATTGAACATTTAATGAAATGCAGAGTAGTGCACACTGTCACAGTGAGGGTTAACGTCAGTCTGTGCTCCTGCGCCCGAAATCCACCCAGCCCTGATAGTCTGATATGCAGTCCTCACGTTGAATAATCTCTGTCAAAATAAAATGTATCACAAAATTACACTGAGGGTAAAAACTTTTTATTTTCCTCCTGCTCCTGCAAAGATGTCCGACTCATGAGTCATTATTTGAACTGGTCCAACTGAATCGAATACTGTTCAATTTGAACATAAAATTTGAATATATAGGCTACTTATGAAAGATGAAATATCAGTAACACTTTATTTGGATGGTCCACTGTAGATGTTTTGTAGATGCTCAGTCTATTTTTAACTAACATTCAACTAAATATCTATTAAATCCAACTGAACTTGTAATTCTGTGTAAAAGATTATATTGAATCTATGCCTAATCCGAAACTTAACCCTAACCCTAACTTCAGTACAAAACCTACACATACTCCTAACTTTAACCCTAACCTTAATGTTGTTGATAATCAACAACCACCAGAAAGTTTGTTAATTTGAATATCTGTAAAGCACCTATAGGGGACCATCCAAATAAAATGTGACCAAAATATCTGTAACGTGTTTGAATTTTCCTACATGTTCTCTCTATGGACTGCTCTTTTTCTAATAAATAGCAACATCAATGGACAGTAAATCACAAAAGGTACATACAGCAGTACACACACACACACAAAAATGTGCTAGGACTGATACACAACAAAAGTGTGCCTGAGAATTTACATTTATGAACGTAAATTTAACCATTACATTTTGACAATTTCAAAATAAGTCAACAACCGGGTCTGGGTATTTACTACAAAAGGTACACACTGTGTCCCCAGATAGAAAGAGGATAGGGGGCCACTGTTGGCTCGTTGACTGCAAAGCTGGTCAGCCACTGGCTTTTTTGTTCAGTGTTATCCGGGTGGCCCACTGGGAGTTGAGTATTAGAACAAATGCCACTTTTCCTTGCTCATTTTCCATTCACAGTCCAATTTAGTTATTTTTCCTTCATTTCTTTCTTTCATTATCATTTGTAAATTAGTTTACTACATAATAAAATTAGTTAATAATAATTTTAATATCACAAATAAAGCCAGGTTTACAGCTGTAACCAATCTAGCACAGTGTCAGCAACATTTCCAACAAAATCACTTAGGCCTTGTCATTATTTTTTTGTCTCAATTCTTGATATTTGTCTTAGTTGTAAAAGTAAAAAGGCTTTGTGCAGATTAAAAACTAGTTAAACCTCACAGGATATAACTTAATCTCGGTGGGTCGTAGTGGACCAGCGTGGCATTCAGTCGGCGGGGTGCCGATCTTATCAAGACAACGGACCAATATATGTTTGCTTTCTGGGCAATGTCTGGGCAAACGATTCCAAACTTATGTGTTTGTGCCATTAGTAAGTAGTAAGCAGCATCAGTCGCTGACTAGAATAAAGTTAGCTTCACTCGTGAATCGACGAATCGTTGAATCGGATGTTCAGGACAAATAAATAGGCAGTTCGAAAGAATCGGTTCGGTAGACTGAATCAAACTTCCCATCGCTATTCCCCACCCTTACCTGATAACGCCTGTAGGATCTGTTTGGAGATGATTTCGCGCTGATCCTCTGCCAGGCGCTCTGTCCTCGCAGTCCGGGGCTGAAGGTCTTCCTCTATGCGGTCGGAGGCGGCAGAGCCCAGGTGATGCCCCGTCCTCTCCGCCTCCTCCGCGGCCCTCTGTGAGTGTGAGAGCGGCGAGCCCGCACAGACCAGCGCCAGCGCCGCCATGAACGTTAGCACTGTGAACGTAGCACTCATACCTGAGGCGATAAGTTATTCTTCAGAAAAAAACAACATAAACCACACTGAGTAGTTTTAAAAACTTTTAGGTTTGTGTAACCTACAACTACTTGAAGCCATTTCCTGTATATATCACCCTAGGGGTAGCCCAGTATCATTCCCCCCAAAAATAACATTTAAGATATTTTGTCTTTTAGCATTGATGCTAATTTACCTGAAAAGTTCAGGAGCAGGAGCGACAAGTTAGCTGCAGTGTTGAAAAGTTAAATCTATACACCTGTTCAGGTTTAGTCTGCTATATATAGCCGATTCATAATGGAAGGATGACTGTAACAGTCAATAATTTCTCATTGCTTCAAAATGAAAACGTTGCCACAATAAACGGCCAAACTTAACGTTGCTAACTGTAAATCGGTCACCTGACCTTTGGGAAGTCCATAAATCAATAAGAGCCATAGAGAATCAAAAAACCTTAAAAAACACTACAGTAATTCTGTCTAAATTACACATTGATTCTAAACTTTTATTTGAACTAAAGTTATTTGCAAAGAATCACATTTGAGTTTAGCAGAACTAGAAACAAGCCCTTGTGTGTACTGTGTATCCCATTAGTGCCGGTGCAGTGCACCTTTGAATGATTGGCAATCTTGCCTCTTATGTCTTACGTGTCATCAAGGTTTTGGTAATGACAGCGTATTGCTATTGATTGATTCGAGCCAAAATAAAGGATTAAGTGGCTTTGCTGACGCAATCATTCTTGTGTTACGCAAAATGGACAGCATATCTCGTCCTACAGATATACTCTGTTGTATGTACATAAAGATTTTAGCCAGAGATGATTGTCTGTCCGTGCGGGACTGTAGGCCTCAGTGTGTGCCAAGAGCAAACAATTCAATACAGCTTGCACAACTTTTCACAGAAATCAGCCGCAGTAGTTGAAATCAATTTGATGTGTTCCATGTGATTGGCATTTGAAAGCTGAAGGCTGCTGATCACAATACACGGACACTGGGACAGATACACTGTATTTTGGGAAGGGTACTTTATAGGTTGTATATCAAAGAAATAAGAAACAAATGTTATAGCAACTTACAGCTTACTTCTTTTTTGTTAACCTATTTGTTTTCTTCATGAAACAAGTAAGCTGAAAGTATTTAGTCCAAAAATGCACAGTGGAAAAAGCATCTGTCAGCGCTAAACCGTGGGCAGTAACCTGTCCCTCACCACCTGTTCAGAAGTGCCAGGTTTTTGCATAAAACCTTAATATTTTCCCATGTAGCATAAGGGAAAGGTAACAGGAGAAGGTCACACACTGTTACCTAAAAAAAAGCATCCAAATAAATAAATGAAATAACTAAGAAACCCAAGCTATCATGCAGGTCTTCTGGCTGAGATTGTTATCTAGGTGTGGCTAATATTTGTAGAAGGTGAACACACCCATTTCTTTTTAAACCCAGATTTAAAAAAACATTTGTTATCTGAAACATCAACATTCACTTAAATACTTCTAGTGAATGCGGAGGATTCACTATTTGCATTTGTGCACTGAAAGCAGTACTTTTGTTTTCTCAGGGAACTCAATGCAAATCCCACCTATTCACACAGATTTTGAAGCTGAGTTTTGCTAATGAATAGAAACTTTTGTATCTTTGTTTTATCTGAGCTACATTAACCCCTTAAATGGCCACTTATTACACTCTTCTATAACCTTAAAAAGAGCTCAGCCAGTTTGCATTGAAGTCCTTGTATTTACTGAATTATACGCTTTAGTACGTAATAAGCCTGTGTTTTCAAGGGGTTAAAAGATAAGTTTTCTAAGACTGAGAATTAAAGCACAAAGCCGAGGAGTGCATTGAGAGAGATGAGTTTACTTAAGAAATACGTATGTTTTTTGTCACATGACTTCACATGAAGAGATTTCAAGAGTCTTATGATTTTTGCTAAGAGTATGGAAGCCTTTGGTCATGCTTGTGCCGGTTAGGCCATCTATTATCCAGCCTGACAGCAAGAAAGGAGGACAAAATAAAGATAATTAATGGACAGATGAAAGACGATGAAAGCAAGTAACCACAATGTGAGAAAATTAAACATGTCATTTTTGATGGGCTTGCACTCCCTATACATTTCAACTAAAATACAGCACAAGGTATTTCGGAGTGAGCTGTTTAGGTCCATAGAGAGTAGGTAAAGGGCAATAATCTGACAGATGAAAAAGTGATAGTGGAATGTCAGTGTAGAGATCATTATCATTTCAGTAAAATCTTTAGAAGGGTGTTGTTTTTCAGTGTAAACAGTGGCATAAAGTCACTGCATTTTGATCATTTATGCACTGCATGCCAACATTCTTCGGTGGACAGAAGAGAAAGAAGAAACCATTCTTTGGAAAGGCGGGTGTGTTTGTACTGAATGTGGTTTGGGATGGGACTTAGCAGACCTTGTTCTCCAGCATCCAAGCCTATATAAGACCTTCTCCGTGAGAAAGCTCTGCTCAGACGCAGAGTTTCGTTCGTGAAGGACATTGTCGCTTCAGTGAGGATCAGCATCTACCCATGCCTGTCAGAGTCCAGCGTAGTTCTTCCTTCAGCGCGCACAGTGCTGTCGGGTCAAAACTCCACGACTCAGCTGGAAGCATGGTGCTGAACGGTCTGAACGGTAATTTAAGTGTTTTTGAATCTTATGGTGGCTATGGCAGCCGCATCTCCGGTTCTTCATCCTTGGTGGTGACCCGCCTATGAGGTTACATTTGGTGCCAATGAAAAGCTGACCATGCAGAATCTTAACAACCGCCTGGCATCCTATCTGGAGAAGGTGAAGTATGCTTTTTTAATGCTGCAATGTTACATATTTATGCATGCATGTTGACAGAAAAGTTTAAAATATTACTAAAATAAAATATTATCTAAAAATATCTAAATTTTTTTAGAAATCTAAAATATTACTCAGATCATCATGTATAGGTTTTTCAAGTCAAGAAAATGTGACATATATATGTCTTTCCATTGTTGCAAAGACCTAATCCAAGCTCAGAATTTTAATAAAAGTATGATCCCATTTTATTCTCCATTTTAGATTGATGCTTACACAATAGCCTTTCCTGACATAGTACCAAAAATCATTGCACTGCAAAAATTATATCTTGGTAAGTGATAAGATCTTAAATCTAGCCAATATTTTGCATATTTCTTATCACAGGATTGTTGTAAGAATGTTATAAGATCATTCAACATATTTCTAGATATTTTTTTACCTGTTTTAAGTAATTTAAGTAGCTCAAATCATATATTCAAATGAGTAAAGCTGCTTTCTCAACTCATACCAGATTTTCAAAATATCAACATCTCCCTAAACTCCCTAAATCTAGTAGATATCAACTTTTAAAAAAAAAAAAATAATAAATTACCTGGAGGGCTCTTTGGTGATGCCACAGTTGGACTTTGAAGAGTGCATAACTGGCCTTACTCTCACTGGGTGGGCATGGCCCGCCACCTCCCCACCGTCAGTTTTATCTAGAGAAATTTTCTTATTCTGTTGACACACTGTAAAAAATTATTCAGTGTTTTAACTTAAAGTAAGTAACCTGGTTGCCTTACAATGGTGAGTTAATAAGTTAATAGAATGTAAAGCACAAATTACAGTTTATATATATATATATATATATATATATAAAAAAATTAGATTTAAGATGATTTCACGTGCCAAGATGTAATTTTTTTGTCTCTTTTTTCTCAATGTATTTTCTTGATGTTCTATACTCTCAGGTGCGCGCTTTAGAGGCTGCCAACAGGAAGATAGAGCTGCAAATAAGAGAGTTTTATGAAAGCAGGGGCCCTGCTTACCACAAAGATCTGTCTGGATACTTCATCACCATTGAAGATCTCCGCAAACAGGTAGAGCAGCAGCATGCAAGCACGCATCAAGCCCACGCCTGAAAACCATTATCGTCTTGAGAACAGCAAATCCACTTGTCAAGGTTTAAAATACCAGAATATCATTAACACTCAGGATGCCATTAATGCTCAGTTGTTTCATCTAACATCAGACATCACTTGACAGGTTATGCCAGTTCTGGTGACAGGTGACATCTTCAGTCTTTCAGCTGCCTAATTCCTTAAGGCCTAAGGGCCAGTACATGGTCTACTCTTCAGTGCCTCGCTCTCGTGACTCCATAACACACGTTAGTTTTGAAGTAGTTATTCAGTAATTAGTTGTTGAAGCTGAATACTAAGTAGACACAAACATGCTTTGTCCTGTAAAAACACACAGCAGCATTGTTGTTTCTGCCAGTGACTTTAAGCAATGTTATGGGATTAAGGATTGTGAGCTTTAGTTTCATGTACACCAGTTTAACAGCTTTTCAGAGTCTCAGTTTTTCCAATAAAACTGTAAAAGTGTTGTATGTGTTATCATCAAAGTATTTTGAAGACATTGTGTTGTCTAATTGTATGTATTTCTTCTCTGCTGTGTTAAAGATTCTTGCCCGTTCCAAGGAAAATGCCAAGCTCCACCTGCAGCTGGACAATATCAGCCTGGCATCTGGTGACTTTAGGATGAAGTGAGTTGAGTGTCTGCTGTTTGTTGCACGTTTACCAAGCATTGTCCAAAAAAAAACAGGGTGGACATGGTTTAGCTTTACAGAGCAAAAGTATAAAAAAAAAAAAGAAAGATAAAATTATTTAATAAGAAAATAAACTATCCAGGAACTGATCTAATGTAAAAAGCTTCTAGCATTTCTTCCTGTCTCAGCAGTATATACGGATATGCTGCGTTGGTGCTACGTAACACTGACATAAACGATCAATGCATCATAAAAATTCACATTTTGCCTTGATTCGATTTGATTAAATTCTTTTGGTTTGACTGAGAATTATTTAAAAAAAAAATTACAGTTGAAGATAGAACAATAATTTCATTTTTACACAAAAAAGCCTATCCTTTATTACAGTTTGTGTTTTATAAATGGTTACATTTATTATATTCCATTAGAATGTTCACATTCCAAAATGTTCACCACTAGATCATGATGCACAAATACATCCACTGTGATCCATTTCTAATGCCCTTGTGCAGGTTTGAGATGGAAATGAACATACGGTTGGCTGTAGAAACAGACCTGGCTCGTCTGCGGGGGACTTTGGGGGAGCTGCAATTGGCCTGTAAAGATTTGGAGATCCAGATCCCTGGGCTGAAGGAAGAACTGGTGTACCTCAAGAAGAACCATGAGGAGGTTAGCCCACTTTTGATTTATTTTTCTTTCGTGTGCATTTAGGTTTATCTGTCTATTGATCTGTCCAGCTTAACATATTAAGATTAAAGCCACGCTTGCATTTTTGCCTGTGTTTCCCAAGAGTCATAGGCCTTTCTGTCTTCTTCTGCTTCATTTACAGGAGCTGCACTTGCTTCGTACACAGCAGAGTGGCTCAGTGAATGTGCAGGTTGACTGTGCCCCCTCAGTGAACCTTGATAAGGAGCTGCAGGAGATGAGAGAGCAGTATGAGACCCTCATCCAAAAGAACCTCAGAGAGGCTGAACATTGGTTCCAGAGCAAGGTGTGTTAGTGGGACAGTTAACAGTATGTGGGTTGCAGCAGATGACAGTAAGCAGGATAAATGTAAAGTGAGGGTCTGTAACCACTAAAGCAACACATGCCTACTCACCTGTGGACCAGATTTTAGCTGGAACGATTTTCCATGAATTTTCAAAGATTAACTTATTCCTTCCTTCATTAGCTGATTTAGGCCTTCAGTAACTTTTCAGTAACTTTTTTGTCTTGGGGAGCCAAAGTGCAAAGTTATATTGTATATTATACATTATGACTTGCTAACATAATGCATCATAAGTAATGTTAATAACATGTTATATTGTCAGTGCCATAGAATCAGTCCCAGCTTGCAGAGTGTAAAGTGAGACAAATAAGTTTATTTACACAAGAGCATTCCTAATACTTTATTTTTCACAAAGGGTGTTGTTAAGGCTGGACCTTTAGGGCTTGTCCTGAATATTCAGATGTCAACCCCAAATAAGCTGTCTATCCCAGAGTTATTAATACAATGTGTTTCCCTTAACCAGTGCTCTCACTGTAAAAATTACATTACATCACAGCAAACCAAGTACCAAGCTCTTGTAAAATGTTATGAACACTATTTATAATGCATTATATTAATTCATAATGCATAATAAGCATGGCTATGAAGTGTAATGCATTTTTATAAGTATTTATAGCCATGTTCATGATTCCTTATGAATGCATTATAATGTGTTATGGATCTGTTCGTAGCTTCTTTTAGACATGGTATTCATATAAAGTGTTACCACTATTTTAAACATTGCTTTTAAAAACATGATTTCACTCAGTAACTATTGGCAGTATGCTGTTATATAACTCTTCTTGGGGCAATTAGTGCCATCTGTTGGAGACACTGATTTCATGTCATAGTGCTTAATGGCACATTCTCTTTCACTTTTAATATACACTTAAGTGTTATCAACCAGAAGACAACAACAAATCTTCCTATGCTGTCCTAAGCTGACCTTACAAATGCTTTCAAAAGGAACAAACTGTACTGACAATTTCAACAAGGGTGTAGATTAAATGATTAGAAACCAAGAAAAAGTGACAAGCATGTGGATTATGATGATTTTAAGTGGCAGTGCTTAAGAAGATAATGTCACATAGCAGTATTGCAAAGAAGCTTGTAATTATGCCTGTTATGCTACTCTGACAAAAGAAAATAGGTGTGAAAGAGTAACATCATTATTTCCACATTCTTTCCATTTTGTGTGAAGTTTTAACCTTGAACTTTAAAAAGATAAAGTAAGAAAGAAAAAAATAATCCCTTTTATTTATTTTTTTTTCATTTTCTTTCTTACATTGTGTAGTACAGCATGTAAAGATACAGGCAAACAACACAGATAGCTGGCTTATAATAGCAAATGCTTGAAGTTTCATGCATGCTGTTACGTAGTTAAGAGAATGATCATGATGTATTTAATAACAGTTTAGGACTGAACATCACATTACAGCAATTACGTGCACTTATACCAGTTGACTGCTTAAGTCTATATAAGTTATTGTACACTTTTCTAATATGCTTTGAACATAACAGCCAGTTATTGAAAAATTTTAATTTATTTGATGAGAGGAACACAGCACATTACTGCAGTGTTTCTGCTGTACATTTACAGCAATTCTTTGCAGGATGTATAGCAATTTAAACGTTTTTTTGTTTAGATGTGGTGTTGAATAAACAGTAATTATGCCTTTCAGAATGAGTTCAGTACAGTGTAATGATAAAGAGTTGTATTGATTTTGAACTCAGAGGTATGATGATCCAGCAATTGTCTGTTATTTAATTCTCTATTTTCAGGCAGAAACATTAAAGTCTCAGGTGACCAGCAGCTACACTGAGATCAAAACTTCTCAGACAGTACTCACTGACCTGAAGAGAAACTTCCAGAACCTGCAGATAGAATTGGATGCAGCTCTAATGCAGGTACGCACTATTAGCTGTTAGCTTATGCCTCTCAGTGAAGAACTCAAACACTTAAGATTTGAAAGACTATCCTTTACATCAGTGCATATCATATTTCCCTTTACTAAGACTTCCTTTACCTCTCTGTGATACAGAAACAAGTCCTAGAGAAGAACCTGGCTGATGCGGGGTTGCGTTACAGTGCCCAGATAACTCAACTTCAGTTACAAATAGACCATCTTCAGGAGGAACTCCAGGAGCTTCATGTCAGCATCCAACAGCAGGCCACTGAGTACCAGCTGCTCCTGGACATCAAGATGAGGCTGGAGCTGGAGATCGCTGAGTACAGAAGGCTTCTGGAAGGAGAGGCGAGAGGGTAAGGCTTTGTGTTCGGTTTTTGTTGGTGTAAAGTTGTTGAGATCATACTGACGGTAGTTGGATTTTTGTATACACTGAAGATACTGAAGGTGGTTGGATTTTTGTTGTAGATGTTTTAACTGAGGTTAGTGGTTAGTGTTATTATGCATTTATAGTACTGTGCAAAGATTACAAAGAGAGCACTCTTAATTTATATAATTTCCAGATAATCCACTTGCATTAGGAAGGGGAAAGTCAAAGAAATATAAGTTAAAAAAAAATTATATTGAGAAAATTGGACTCCTAACAACCATGCAGGACCTGGTAGATCGTCAAAACTATCACCATCAGATACACAATACTTCAAGCTTTCATCTTTGAGGGACAAGAGAAAATCAAACTCCATTCTTGCTTCAGATCTGAAAAAATCCACAGCTGTTTCTGTCTATCCTTCCACTATGAGAAGACAACTCTATGCTATGGGTCTATAAGGATGTGTAGCTGACAAGTATTACTGAGAAAAGGAAATAGACAAAAAAGCAATTTTTAAAATGAAGCAAAGAAGCTGCTGCTGTTCTTACAACAACACAATGTACTGACCACTCCAGAGTCCAGACCTCAGCATCATTGAATGTGTTTGGGATTACTTGAGCTGTGAGAGCAACCAAGTTCTAGTAAAAATATCCCTGCAGATTTCTTTGAAAAATTAAAAGCAAGTCTCTTGAAAAGAATGGGAGCTGTAACAGGGACGTGGGATGTGGGGGTGCTGAGGGTACAACCGCACCCCTAGATTTCAGGGTTGGATAACTGCAAATGCGAAAAATAAAGAAAAGATCTGAACTTGAAACAAATTTGAACGTAGTAAATATCCATATCTGCTTGTTTTAGGAGTTACTATGTTTGTGTTTTATTCATATATGTTAAAAACCAGCAATAGTTGTACCGTTTACGTTAACAATTAGTTAAAGCAAACCAAATTGCTCCTCTTGCCCCACTCCTGGCCACTTTGGGGACATGTCATCAAAACACAAGCAGGTTGAGGTGCAAAGAGGGAAAGTGTGTACAGAGCTGTGCCATTTCTGAGCCCCAAAGCGGCCTAATATTGTAAAACTTATTAAAAATACCCTAATGATGTCCGCTTTCGATACATTCTTTTTTATCAACTGTTATATTTCCCACTTAAGGTGCATTGAAGTGTGTGACACATATGTGCCACATATCAACAATCAGATTGGGCGTCACGAACGAGAGAGCAGAGAAAAGGGTATATTATGTTTATGTGGGTTTATGTCATCTCTCGCCACATATGGCATGCCATGACATGCTATGTATGATGTAAATTATCAAAAAATTAAAATAAAATAAAAAAGGCAAATCATTTTGCATGACGACACCGTTTGCATCATGTATATACTGCTTAAAATTTCAGCACCCCAACTTAAAACAGCTGCCTGCATCCCTGAGCTGAAATAAAGACAAAAGATGGACACATAAATACTGAAAATTTGACATTATATGTAGTTGTTGAGGCTTCTAATATATATATATATATGTTTTCCATGTATTTTTTCAATGATGCTGAATTAATAATTTGTACTTTGTAGCTGTTTTGATGGAAAATTGAAATAAATTTAGTCTGGCCTCTGACATTTTGTACAGTACCGTATGTGCCTGTAGAAAGATAGAAGCATACTGTTTATCATTAATCATTTTCTTGCACTGTATGCAGAAGTGTCGTGACATCAACTGTGAAAGAGACTGTGACCGAAACAGTGAAAATAGAGGAAAAGGTGGAAGAGGGTAAATAAAAACTTAATTACTTTTATTTTGTCCATTCTTATGTTTAATTTTTTTTCTTATTATTTTTCAGCATATTCCATTCACCAACTCTGTCCTTTCATTTTTTTCAAAACTCTATCCATTCATAATTTTGTCTTTCTGGTTCCCAAGGGATTATTATTATTATTATTATTATTATTATTATTATTGAATAAGCAACTCAAGAATCTTTTAAATCAGTTTAACTGTGTGATGTCTCTGTGCGTATTATGTCACTATAGAGCATAATCCTCATGTCCAGAGGCGGGTGAAGGTTATCGTGGAGGAGCTGGTGGATGGAAAAGTTGTGTCCACTTCAGTGGATGAGAAAATTCAGGAACTGAGCAACTGAGTTGAGGATCCAACAGCTTTACACATATTACTATGATACGTGCTTCACACATATTACTACAATATTATATTCATAGAGACAGTGATCAAAATAATAATGCAGAACTTTATCATTCCAGAATACAGCAACTTCCGTAATATTATATCATTTATTTGGGCTCTAAGTGGGACCTTGTTTTCCTCTATGTGTGGTGAGGTACACTACCATTCAAAAGTTTGGAATCATTTATCAATTAAGTTGTTATTGAATAACAACTTATACGGTTATGAGACACCAAAGTGTAAACTGAGTGTATCCATCCATCATCTAAACCGCTTATCCTTCTGGGTCGCAGTGGGGTGCTGGAGCCTATCCCAGCTATCATTGGGCGGAAGGCAGGATACACCCTGGACAGGTCGCCAGTCTATCGCAGGGCAGACAGACAGACATACACAGTCACACACACACTCACACCTAGGGGCAATTTAGTGTATCCAATCAGCCTGACTGCATGTTTTTGGACTGTGGGAGGAAACCCACACAGACACGGGGAGAACAGACAAACTCCACACAGAAATGACCCTGGTTGCCCGGCCGGGAATTGAACCCAGGCCATTCTTGCTGTGAGGCGACAGCGCTACCCACTGCGCCACCGTGCCGCCGAACTGAGTGTATTCACAGTTTAAATATTTTTGGAAGAATGGAAAGCCATGACATGGTTAAAAAGTAGTACAGGTTATTAAACAGTGCACTGTAGTGATTTATTTATAGTAATTTCTGTTTTTGGCACATGAGAGCACACAAATGTTATAAGTGGACATTGGAGATAAAAATAAAATGCAGAAAAATATAAGATATAGTACAAAAAAAAAAGAAAATACAAGATACATCGAGGCTCATAAATTTTATTATATGTTCATTATTAATGCTGTACAAATTTTCAGTTATTATAGAATCATCTGCATTCTTCATTGAAAATGTTTTTATTTTTACAACATTGTTTGAAACATAAAGAATAACACTGGGCGGTGATTCCAAACCATTGAATGTGTAGTGTTCAGCCACTAGATGTCATTATTGTCATCCTCATGCGTGTTTAGGACGCACATGCACAAGCTAGGTGAAATCCTGTAACTGATGCAACAGGACAACAGTATATGTAGTATGAAACAAAGAGCTTTCTGTCCATTGTCTATATATAAATATATATATATATATATATAAAATATATATAAAATAGACAGTTGAAAGAAAACCTTGTATCTCCAAAATGATAGATGGTAGATTTACTTTGAATGGAAAAGATTTCTATTGATGGTTCATCCTAACATGTTCACTCAGGCCAGCTGGTCTTAGTAGATAATGGCAAAAATGGAGATCCAACAGTGATGATACATATGTAGAGTCCAACACATATTGTTCTAATAAACCCACATAATCTAACAGTATTGGAATTTTTTTCTTCAGTTGGGCAAACTAAACTGCTTTTAAATGCGGAACTACTTGCTGACAGATGTTGAGCTTTAATTGCTCCCTTAATAATTATGTTCACTTAAAGACAGTCAAGTTCAGTCAAATTTGGAACATGCTCTCTGAACAGTACAGAGACTCCAACTGTCAGGGCACACCCATAATAAATACACAGGATACTCTGTAGAAAATGAGGAATGATCAGCGAGATTCTGCGATCATATTATCAATGCTTATTTTCAGCTTACTGACATTGTGACTTTATCTTGGGCATAAAAGCCTATTTGTCTGGTCTTGCATTGGCAAAGTCATTTGGGTATCACTAACACATTATAATTATAATCACCCCACCTCTCTCTGTAAGGTGAGACGTAATTTAGTATGGGAGCGCTCTGAAGAAGTCCCTGAGGATGTTCTTATGAGCATAAAATTCACATCTATAAGTAGGTCAAGGTTATTGTGGAAGAGCTAGCACACAGGAAAGTTACGTCCACAAGAAATTCAAAACGTGAGCACATAAGCATAAAAACAAGCAGCACAATACTGCATTACAGTTACTTCAATATTATGTCAAAACTAAAGCTATAATGCCACTCGATAATAAGGCACAGCTTGATCATCCCAGAATTTAACAGAGTATTTTACCTTTTTGTGAGCTATCAGTGTAACAGTAACTGCAGTGTTTAAAAAACATCCACAGTCTACATTTTTTGTGATTACTAGATTATAAGGAAAAACAATTGAAAATAAGAAACATACCATACCATGGTTGCATAAGTGTGTGAACATCTAATACTATTTGCAGTACGTTTTCTATTTGTTTCAGCATAATGTCTTCAAGCAAATATGCCTTCACACTTGGTCTTAGCGATTATACATGGAGCCCCACAACGTGATGCTATACCACCACCATACAGTGCGGTCCAAAAGTCTGAGCCTTTCACATTTGATACAAAGTTTCTCATTACGATATTATCAGCATAACAATTTGAGTGAATAGTCGAATGTTTGAATGCTTACATGAATTTTAAAAATTCTTAGTATTTGGTATCTCCCCCCTTTAGTTTAATGGCAGCATGCGCTCAAGCTGGCATAGACTCCAAAGGTTTGTGCAAAAGCCTAGATTTAAATCCACCAAAGAGTCCAAACACAAGCTTCAGTGAAAGGTGGAAGGAATAAGGCTACAACCTTTTTGTACAAAGGCCTTAACATGGTTAATTTCACAAATTTGCTTCATACATTTTTCAAGATGTTAAAACTTTGTTTATTACCAGGTTTAAATAAAGGAAAAACAGATTTTTAATGTGGTCTCAAACTTTTGGACTCCACTGTACTTCACAGTAGGTATTATGTTCTTTAGTTGATGAGCTATGTTGTCATACTTTTAGAATTCTGGCCAAAAACTTCAACCTGTCTCATCAAATGGCAAATTTAACATGGCTTATTTTTTTCAAATGCAGCAGTATGATGGTCAATACAGGCTTGTGAGGTTCAATGTTGTCCACATGGCAATCTGCTTGTATTTGGACAGTGACACAGTTTTTGTTATCTTGGTTTTGCGCTCCAGCACATTGCGCTTTAAAAAGATCATGAGTGTCACCTTTCATTTGAGGGCATATACATCTACAGTGCTCAAAAGTACTCTTGGGACAATCTGAATACAAATTATGCTTAGTTTATATATATATATATATAATCTCCAACTTAAAGTTATGATTTATTCTTTTGTATCCATCCGAAAATTTACAACAACCAGCAATAAAAAACAGGTTTACTAACTGAAACTCAAAATGTTCTCGGTAATTCATTGAAAACTTAAGTAAGAAGTAAAAGTGCTCAAACATTGCTGGGACAAACATTAGTATCTCTTTCATTTATGTAGGTTGGTGTTTTGCATTTTTAGCTTAGTATATTGTTGCATGTCTCTTCTTTTGGCCGACAGCTGAAGTCTTTGCACAACTGAAGCTTAGCCAGGCTTATTGGATGTTCTCTTTTGAATGGCTAGAACATGTTTTGAACATGTCCTATCTTTTTCCACAACTTGAGTACATACTTTGTGCTTGGTTTTAGAATTTACAATGTATCTGTATCCTTTCTCATGGATATTTTGTCAGACATTTGACAATTCATTCAGCAATATCTTTCAGAATGTTAATAAAATTAAGTAAGGTGTGATGGAGGCTTTCCAAGAGTAGCACTGGGGATCACTGGTTTGAACTTGTGCACTTGGATTAGTGCTCCAACATTAGTTTTGAGGAAATATTATGTGAAAATTTTCTAGTTTGCTATTGTGTAGTCAGACATTCATTTGATTCATTTGTAAGTTATAACCACTGAAATTATGCAGTGTTGAATGTGGTATTTATATACAGTGCTATGTAAAAGATATATGCAGAAAATTCAATTTAAAAAGCTGTTTATCTGGGCAGTAATTATTTATCAGAAAATCCCTAATATAAGTATAAATTTGCATAACACTAATAAAAAGTAGTAGCCTTTAATTAAATGCACAATTATTAACAAAATAATTAACAAGACACACCTGTTTGTATAAACCTGGTGTGAATGTGAGGGTGGAGACATGCATTCAGTCAAGAGATTTAATTGACCTTGTTCGATATGTTAGAGTAATTTAACCTTTGTCCTTGAAAAAAAAGAAATAGGACAGTCCACCCACTTATAGTGCCACTATAAGAAAATGTTACTTTTAACTTAATTTCAAATGTATACAATATAGTTCATATATTGATTATTGACAGTCAAAAGAATGTTAATTATGAGCAAAAAACTGCCACTTATATGTAGCTTCATAGTTTTACTAAAATTACAACAATAACATTATATATTCGAATTTCAGATGTAAAAGAGTAGATAGAGACGAATCTACAAAAACCTGGCTAGGAAAAGAAAGAAAAAATAGAAAGGGTTATGAGTCATATTCTCAATGCTACTGCAGGTTCAAACAGGGTGGATTTGAAAACCTCAACAGCTTTAGGCACAATATCATTGATTAAAATATTCTATTCATGGTGTGATTCAGATGCAGCTGCAGGCAGGGGAGGGTGCTCACAGATGACACATATTCATCTCCTGTCTGGGTAAAAGCTAATTAATCACCCACTACAACTACAACAATTTGCTCTTGATCAGTTGTGCTCATAAGTTTACATATCCTGGCAGAATTTGATTCTCAAATTCTCCTTTTCATGGTTGGTGCTTGGGTCAAGCCATTTATTATCAAAAAATTGTTTTTGCCCTTTTTTAAATCATAATGACAACAGAAACTACCCAAATGATCCTGATCAAAAGTTTACATACCCTAGTCCTAAATACCGTGTATTCCCTCCTTTAACATCAATGACAGCTTGAAGTCTTTTGTGGTAGTTGTGGATGAGGCACTTTATTTTCTCAGATGGTAAAGCTGCCCATTCTTCTTGGCAAAATGCCTCCAGTTCCTGTAAATTCTTGGGCTGTCTTGCATGAACTGCACGTTTGAGATCTCCCCAAAGTGGCAGCTTCCGGGCTGATGAGTGAAAATTTTTCTCCAGTATTTTCTGATAAAATGCTGCATTCATCCTGGCATCAATTTTGACCAAGTTCCCTGTGCCTGTGTAGCTCACACATCCCCAAAACATCAGCGATCCACCTCCATGTTTTACAGTAGGGATGGTGTACTTTTCATCATAGGCCTTGTTGACTCCTCTCCAAATGTAGCGTTTATGGTTGTGGCCAAAAAGTTCAATTTTGGTCTCATCGCTCCAAATAACTTTGTTCCAGAAATCTTGAGGCTTGTCTCTGTGCTGTTTGGCATATTGTAAGCGGGCTGCTTTGTGGCATTGGTGTAGAAAGGGCTTTCTTCTGGCAACTT